CATGTGGTGCTGGGGGATCGAACCGCGGTCCCTGTGCTTTGCCAAGCTTGTTCCAAGTAGGTGCTTTAGACCACTGAGCCATCTCTCCAGCCCCTTATGGCCTTTGCTTTAAATGTCAGCGAAGTCCCCTTGCTGTGTGCAGGATGGCTTTTCAGGACTCGCTTCTTGCTCTATTCTGGGCTGAGCTGGTGACTTTAACATGCTTGGCATGAAGCCTCTCCCCTTCAGAGGAAGGTGGGGGTTCAGGGAGCTTCTCCTGGCGCCGAGTGGCTTCGTGGCCAGCTCCTTCTGGCGGGAAGCGTTGGACTTCCCATCGCTGCTGTGCAGCCTGAGATCTGGTGCTGCAGCCTCAGGCTGTGAATGCCCCTCGCCTTCCTCTGGAGCGCTCTGTCCCAGTGCCAGACTCAGCGTGAGGCCTGTTGTCCTCCCTCCTCTGCCATGAGGGCTGTGGACGTGGCTACACAGCCCCTGGGTGCCCTGGTGTCCCTGTCAGAGGCAATGGGCGGCCTCTCTCCTCCTTTCCCTGGCGTGGACAGGGTGCTGCAGAGCTCACTGTCCTCATCTGAGCTCCTGGGCCTGGCGCCATCTCCAGGGGGACCGCTGGAAAAGGGACACCTTCATCTACTGGTCTTGGGTCTTGAATGTTAGTAGTTAGAACCCATATTTCTTGTAATTTGACCAACAAATAAGCCTATTTTCAGAATAATTTCTGAGCAGTCCCCCTAGCTGCTTCTGAGAGGGAAGCCTAGAGTCCAGGGCCCAGCTTCTGTCCTTCTCCCCAAAAGGTTCTGAACCAAACTGAGGACCACCGCCAGCGAGTCCTGCAGGCCGCTGCCAAGAACATCCGGGTCTGGTTCATCAAGGTGCGCAAGATGAAGGCCATCTACCACACCCTGAACCTCTGCAACATCGACGTCACACAGAAGTGCCTGATCGCCGAGGTCTGGTGCCCCGTCACTGACCTAGACTCCATCCAGTTTGCGCTCCGGCGGGGCACGGTGAGTTCTCATGCTCGCAGCCTGGGAAGGCAGCAGCAGGGATCACGACTGCCACATTGCCACGGGAGCCCTGTGTGTGCTCTGTGTCCCCACAGCACGCATCTTCTCACGGTGGCACAGGGCACTGCACAGTGTGGGCAAGAAGGGAGCACTGTGGCCGCGGCTCACAGTCCCACAGGGCTGGCCATGTGCCCCCTGGCAGTTTGTGTTGGGAGGTTCATGAGCAGCTGCTGTCTCAGCCATGGTCAAGGCCTAGGGTCAGGGACAGTGTGAGCTCCATGACCGCACAGCTGCTGGGGCAGGTGTGACGGGGGAAGGCCCCGGCCAGCCTCGCTGAGCCCAGGCCCTGTGCGTGGGGGGGGCTGTGCTGCCCATGTGAGTGGAGAGGGCTTTGAGGAGGGCCGCAGTGGGGTGACGCAGGGGGCGGCAATGCCGCAGAGTTTGCCTCGCACAGAGGAGGCTCCGCCCCTGCATTGGGCACGGAACCAGATGAGAGTGAGCAGAGCAGGGTGGCACCAGTGAGGCCTCTGAAAACCAGATGTGAGGAGGAGAGGGCAGGAAGCAAAGGGCAGCAGCGTGTGCCAGGTACAGCCTGGCGTTTTGTTTTGAGACAGGGTCTCACTAGATGGCTCAGGCTGGTCTGAAACTCACAGCACCCACCTGCCTCAGCCTCCCGAGGGCTGGGATGACCGGTGGCCGCCATCCTGCTGGGCACTGGAAGGGTTATCGAAGGGCAGGGCCGAGGCTTTGCACCTTATCCCAGGCCGAAAGGGCTGGAAATGATTTCTCAGAGAGGGACATAGCGCTTTAGTAGGCAGCAGCCAGCATGGCTGTCGCCTAGACACAGGAAGTAACAGCGGCCCCCGGCCAGGGTTTGATGGTGCAAGAGAAGGTGCGGGATTTGTGGGGCATGAGCGGGCCTGCGGTGGCTTTGGTTAGCAGCAGGCGCAGGAGCAGGCAGGAGGGGAAGTCAGGGTGTGTGAGGCCGCAGGCCCCAGCTCTGCCTGAAGGGCAGCGCTCATAGGAGCAGCTCAGCAGGCACCCCCATGTGGGCGGGGCAGAGCCAGGGCGGAAGGAGCGGCTGCGCAGCTGCACTGTTGGGCACGGGGTGGGGGGCGCCCAGGTGGCTCTGAGGCTGGCACAGACAAGAGCACGGCGCACCCGCCGCACAGCAGGAAGAGTTTCTGTGCTGTCTGGCTGCACACCCTAGAGTTTTCTGTTGTTTTATGAGATAGGGCCTTGTTGAATTTTGGGGCCCTGAATTTGGGCCCTGTAGCCTTGCCCCACCCAACCTTTTCTCCGCGCTCCCTTGGTAGGGCCTGCTTCCAGGAAAACTTGTTTTGTTTATTGTGTTTTGTGATTTTGAACAATTGTATTAGTACCTTTTAAATGGATGTAATGGTCAGTCATCACAGGGAATTTACCTGTGTGTGAAACATCGTGCTGCTTTTTTCTCACCCCCCTCCCCACTTTCTACCCCTAGCAAATGTTTTTGAACTCTTGGGTCTCAAACTTTGGGGTTTGAGTGATCCTCCTGCCTCAGCCTCCTGAGTGCTCGACAGCAGGCGTGCACTGTTGTTCTTGGCTTCTAGGTAATATTTCACATGGGCCAGTGAGATAGCTCAGCGGTCTAAAGTGCCTGCTTAGGCAAGCTTCGGCAGGCGCAGGGGCCTGCAGTTCTATCCCCAAACCACATGCCGCGCCAGCCCCGCCCTCAGGGTGGGCTGAGCCCTCCCCAAAAAACCTTTCACAGCCCTGATGCCCTGTACACCCCAAGACTGGATCTGAATCTTACACAGTAAATGTTCCACCCTTGTGGCTCCCCCAAAATCTGGGAAAGTTGGCCTCTGAGGTCCTATCTCTCATGTGCAGTCTGCAGGCCCCGTGGCATACACAGGCAGTCTGATGGCTGCCGCAGGGAGGAGGACAGCCTGACGGCGTGTGTGCTGTCTGTCTCCACAGGAGCACAGTGGCTCCACCGTGCCCTCCATTCTGAACAGGATGCAGACGAGCCAGACGCCCCCGACCTACAACAAGACTAACAAATTCACATCTGGCTTCCAAAACATCGTGGACGCCTATGGGATCGGGACTTACCGGGAGATCAACCCAGGTACACCCGGCTGCCTTTCCTGGGTGGCTTCGTGGCTCGGGTTCTCTCAGCATGGAAGGCTCTTTGTGGGCCTGTGAGGCCGCTGAGTGCGAGCTGCAGGTCCCATTCCACAGTGCTCCGGGTCGCCCTGCAGCAGCCAGGCCTCCTGCCCACGCTCCACAGATGCTGCTCCAGCATGTGTTTTTCCAAGGCCCCTTTTTCCCCCCCGCTGCTGTGGAGCCTCCCTGTCCCTGGCTGCGCAGTTGCTGCAAAGTTGTTGGCTGTTTCCAGCATAGGTCTGGTCTCGCCCTAAGGGGCTCACTGTTAAATCAGCCATGACGGAGAAGGGCTCGGTGGAAAAGGTTGAGTGTAGCCTGCCTGTGGCCTGGGTTCGTCCTGCAGGAGAGACAGAGCAGCCCAGGGAGCTTCCTTGGTCCCACCCTGCAGGGCCCACTGCTGGCTGCTTGGTTCAGCTGGGTACAGGGTGCTGCCCTGGATGGGGCTGGGCAAAGGGACCAGAGGTTGAAGCACAGTCCCACTGGGCCACCCTCTGCCCCTGTGTGCAGTTACAGCTTGGGTGCCAGCCGGCTGCTTGGTGGGGCTGTGGGGGCGGGTCCCACCCAGGGCAGAGTGCCCATAGGTTAGCAGAGGGACACAGTGCCTGGCTTACTTGCCCTCATGCCCCCCTTTCTGTGGCTTCTCCCCAGCTCCGTATACCATCATCACATTCCCGTTCCTATTTGCTGTGATGTTCGGGGACTTCGGCCACGGCATCCTGATGACCCTCTTTGCAGTGTGGATGGTGCTAAGAGAGAGCCGCATCCTCTCTCAGAAGAATGAGAATGAGGTATGGCTGAGCTTGGTCTGCGGGGTACGGCAGCAGCGCTGCCTGAGGTCTGGGCAGGAGGGGCTGGCCCCATCCCAGAACAGCAAGTGAGGAAATGGGCCGGGTGCTGCTTGGAGCCGAGCCCTGGGTTCCACCCCCAGCACAGCTAGAAAACAGAAACGACCCAAAAACCAGAGTGACGTGTGTGTGGACAGAAGTTTGTGATTTCTCATGCATTGTTATGAAACTCACACCCAGAAGTCTGTTACCTGGGCAGTCGCTCAAGGGGACGCAGCCGCTCCGAGGACCTTAGCACAGAAGAGGCCCTGTGTGTGTGGGGGGGGGAGTGCACTCCCTGTGCTCACTGCTGCCGCCTCCCCCTCCAGATGTTCAGCACCGTGTTCAGCGGCCGCTACATCATCCTGCTGATGGGCGTGTTCTCCACCTACACCGGCCTCATCTACAATGACTGCTTCTCCAAGTCTCTGAATATTTTCGGGTCATCCTGGAGTGTGCGGCCCATGTTCACTATCTATAATTGGACGTAAGTGGCAGGAGAGGCCGGAAACTGCTCCAATTTCTGACAAGCTGCCAGCCAGCACCCCTGCCCCTGTGCGACATCATGTCCCCTCTCAGTGTCCGGCCTGTGCAGCAGCCGGTGTCCAGATGCTCTAGTACATTTTTAATAATACATTGCATGTTGTTGTCTCAGTGGTTATTCACTGTACAAGATGCAGACCTGATATCCTGCCTCACACTATTAGAGCAAGCCTCTCTATTCAAGGATGTGCGTTTGTTGCTGGCTCAGTCAGTGAGGAGCAGGCCCAAGGCCCCTGCTTGGTGCCCCTCGCTGCCTCTGGCCCCCCTCTTCCTGCAGAGATGGCACAGGTGGGCTGTCCTTCTGTCCTCTGTGGGCAGACTCGGGCCAGGTGGCTTCTGCCATCGTGTGGAGTACATCACTGTGCCCCTCTTCTGGCAGGGAGGACACACTGCACGGGAACCCTGTTCTGCAGCTCAACCCAGCCGTGCCTGGCGTTTTTGGCGGCCCATACCCTTTTGGCATCGATCCGGTGAGACTCCTGTCCTGTATGCCACTTGCTGTCATGTGGAAGGGAGGGGATGGAAGTGATGGCAGATAGCTCTGTCCTTGATGGTGGCATGTTCTGTTCAGCGTGTACGCCAGCCACGTGAGGCCCAAGTGGGTTGGAAGCCACATGTGTCATCCAGCACTTCCTTTCTTTTATTTATTTGTTTAATTTGTGGGGGGTTCCAGGAATTGAACTCAGGATCTCGTGCTTACCAGGCAGGCACTGCGCTGCTGAGCTGTATCCCCGCCCTCTTTCATTTGTTTTTGAGGTGGGTTCTTGCTTTATAGTTCAGGCTGACTTTAAGCTCTCTGTGTAGCCCAGGCTGGCCTCCAACCCACAGCAGCGATCCTCCTGCCTCAGGAGATGTTTAGATGATAGAGATAATTATAAAAGCAGAGGGAAGAAGGACATCTCCTGAGAAATGGACAGAGAGAGTAAGAAAGAAGGCTCCAGGCAGAACCTATTGAGCCAAGGGAGAAAAGGTTTGAGTGATACGTGTAGCTTTGTTGAACCCTTACGTTGAGTGCTTACATGCATTAAGGCCTGTGCCCAGCCCTTTTCTGAGGCAGGGTCTCACTCTGCAATTCAGGCTGGCCTTGAGCTCACTTGCAACACTGCTTATTCCCAAAGTAGCTACAAGTATTGACTATAGGGAGATTGATTTTTTTCAAGACACTCCTCAATTTTCAATCCATTTCTACTGTTTGTTTTTTAAAAATATTTATTTACAAGATGATTTATTTTATTTTGTATTTAGTACAGGGTCTACGGGGTCTCACCACACAGATTGGACTCGTAGTGATCCTCCTGTTTTCAGCCTCCCAAGTGCTGGGGTTACAGGCACGCGCACTGGTCTTTTTGAGACAGTGTCTGCAAAAGGCATTTTAGTCCATCCCTAAGAGTTGCCAGGGTTTTGTTCCCTTTCGCAGCTGTTTTGCTTCCTTCAGTTAAGAGCGGGTGACAGGTTCGCCTGGGTCTCCACAGGCCACAGCGCTCCTGCTGGAAGCTCCTGGCAAGCGACTCCCCGTGTGGCGCACGGCCGGGGCGGAGCTGTGGGTGAAGCACAGGTCCTGTCACAGCATCCGCAGCCCCCTCAGCATCACCACTCAGGCCCCTCGTCCACTTCAGGGGCCTCTCACTGTGTCCCCTCAGTGAGGGCAGAGTGCGTGAGTACCAGGCCACCTGGGCAGCCTGTTGCCCACACCGTGCTCTTGTGTGCCCACTCGCATGCGTGTGCACGTGGGGAGGCGAGCCCTGGACCTACCCTCTCTTCATTTTGTGACAAGATCTCACAACGTTGCTAGGCTGGGCTCCCGCCTGTAGGCATCCTGCCTCAGCCTCCTGAAGAAGTAGGAGGACGACTGCTTTGAGTATTTTTTATCTGATTAGTGGTTGGTTGAATCCACTGGTATGGACCTTGCAGATATGGAGCTGGCTGTACTTTAGTTATGATGAGCTTCAATGCCAGCCTCAATGAAGGAAGGAAGGAAGGAAGGATGGACGGATGGACGGACGGACAGACAGACGAACGCTAATGGGACTGAGACTCTTGCTGTGGACCCAGTGCCATGGCACCCCTCAGCACATCTGCTTTAATCTTCAATGCTGTGAGGCACATGCTGCTTCCCCCCGCCATACTGGGGATTGAACTCAGGACCTTGTGCTTTCCAGGAAGGTGCTTATGTCACTAAGCTATCTCCTCAGCCGTAGGAAGATGTTGCTGTCACTAGCATACACCTAGAGAACCAGGTTGGCCAAGGCCTAGTAATGTTCCACAGGCTCACAAAGCAGCATGTTCTGGACCCTGCCACCTGCCAGGCACAGTGCCTGCTGGACCAGCAGTTTGTTTTGTTTTGTTTCTTTCCTTTTTGATCTTTTTGAGACAGGGTCTTTGCAAAAGACATTTTAGTCTATCCCTAGGAATTGTCAAACTCTTAACTGTGAGCCGCTGTACAAATGAAGAGTTAAACACTTTCAGCGTTCAGTGGCACAGGGAAAGCACTACCATTCCAAAAGGTACACACAGCAGGAGAACACAAAGCATTGGGACTGGGCCGGGGAGATAGCTCAATAGAATAAGCGCCTGAGTTCAATCACCGGTTCTGCAAAAATAAATAAATAAATAAATAAAATAAAATAAAATAAAAACAAAGCACTGGGACTGACACAAGTCCAAAACCCAGCAGGGAGCCTTTTTACCAAGATGGCGCTGAAGGCGAAGGAGGAAGCCCCTCCCTAAGCTGAAGGCAAAGTGAAAGCTCTGAAGGCCAAGAGGGCCGTGCCGAAAGGCTTCCACAGCCACAAAAAGAATATATGAACGTTGCCTGCCTTCCGCCCTCCCAAGACACTGCAGCTCCAGAGCCAGCCCAGATACCCTCAGAAGAGCACCCCCAGGAGAAACAGCTTGACCACTATGCCACCATCAGGTTCCCCCTGACAGCAGTCAGCCATGAGAAAGGTCGAGGACAACAGCACACTCGTATTCACTGTGGATGTCAATGCCAATAAGCACCAGATGAGACTAGCTGTGAAGAAGCTGTGTGACATTGGTGTGGCCAAGGTCAATACCCTAATCAGGCCTGATGGAGAGAAGAAGGCATCTGTTCACTTGGCTCCTGATTATGATGCACTGGATGTTGCCAACAAAATTGGGATCATCTAAACTGAGTCCATGGGCTGGTGAGATGGCTCAGTGGTCTAAAGCACCTACTTAGAACGAGCTTAGCAAAGCACAGGGACCGCGGTTCGATCCCCCAGCACCACATGCCAGCCAGCCCCGCCCCCTGGTGGGCTGAGCTGGACACACACACACACACACACACACACACACACACACACATAAATAAATAAAAATAAACTGAGTCCAGCTGACTAATTCTAAATATATACTTTTTTTCTCAGATTAAAAAAAAAAAAAATCCAGCAGGGCAAACATTAAGTCCTACAGTTCCATGTGGAACATCCAAAGCAATCTGTAATGAGTTGTGAGCTCCAGAAGCCTTCCATGGCTCCACTCCTAAGGCCCTCTCTCTTGGTGGTATCTCCCACGGCTTCTCTCTTAGGCCAGCTTTGCACCCTCCTTGCAGTTTCCCTTAGATGACCCACATTTCTGGCTTTTCCAGACTTAAGGGGTTTCTACTACACATTAAGCTTCTCACTCTCTGCTTCACACACTGCCTTCTCAGGGGCACACGGCCTGGCCTCCCAGGCCTTCTACAATCGAGGTGGAAGCCTTCTTAACCTCAGAACTCTTGCATTCTGCCTGCACCTAAAAACAATGCCACATGGATGATGCCAAGGTCTGCCGCCAGTTGGAGCAGTAACCAGGTTTTCTTCTGTCTTGGCTGTAGGAGTTGAGTGCCTGGATCTCTGAGCACTCTGGCCCTGATTTCGAGGAATAGATTCTCCATGCTGGCACCATTCTGGAACCTGGTATGGCCGCCACTGCCATTCTGGAACGTGTGGCCACTGCCCCTGAAAGATGGTGCTCTGCAACTTTCTCCTCAAGACAAAGTCTCTCATCCTTGCAATTCTGAGGCTGCAAAGGGTGGAGACCTGCTGCCTCCTGTGATGCCCTCCTTTCCTTTCTCTTGTTCCTTTCCCACAAAGGAGATTCTCTCAGCTCTATCTTTGCATAACACAGCTTTATTGGAGCTTCCTTTCTGGCCAGACTCACATTTTAAATCATCCTGCTGGGCTCCTTGCTCTTGATTCTCAACATAAATCTGACTAAAAGCTCCCAACAATAGCCATGCCATTGCTTCAACAGTTGGCTGCATTGAAGTTTCTTCTGCCAGATTAATCAGTCCATCAGGCTTAATTTCAGTCCCAGGCAAAGTTTCTGGACATGGGCAAAATGCAGACAAACTTTCTGCCAAGCCATAACACATCATCTGGAGTCCAACAACCAATGCAGTCTTTCTTCCCAGAAGAAACCGCCTCAACCTGGCCTTTACAGGCAGGATTTCTATCAGTCTTGTGGTCTCCTGAACTCTAACAAGAATCTCCCATGCAGAACAGCAGTAGCTGTTCCAGTGCTACTCTTGTAGGTGACATTTCTTTTAAATTTTTTTTTAACATTTATTTATTTAGTGTGTGTGTGTGTGTGTGGCCAGCTCAGCCCACCAGGGGGCACAGCTGGCTGGCATGTGGTGCTGGGGGATCGAACCGCGGTCCCTGTGCTTTGCCAAGCTTGTTCCAAGTAGGTGCTTTAGACCACTGAGCCGTCTCTCCAGCCCCATTGTAGGTGACATTTCTGAACCTTTTCTATCTCTTCCCATAAGCCATTCCCAAAAGCTTGTAATCCACAGGATCAGGATGAGTCATAGCAACAGCCCCACTCCTGGTACCAAATTCTGCTTTGGTTATTCTTCTTTCATTGCTGGGACAAATACCAAACACCAAAAATGAAGGAAGGAAGTAAAGCTTTGTTTAGCTCACAGCTAATGGAGGTTTCAGTCCATAATCAACTGACTCCAAGGCAGAGTGGTAATTGGCAGAGAGCAACCTTTCATAGTGGTGGCAAAGAACAGAGAGCAAAGGGAGGGACAGCAGCTCCAGCAGCTAGCTAGCCTCTGTCCCCTCCTTACATTGTAATGCAGAGTATCTGCCCCAGGGAACTCATACCCATAATCCCAGCATTGGATCACAATCACAAATTCCAGAAGCCACCCCGTGACTACATGAGGCTTTGTGGGACAACTGGACACAAACCATAACAGTCTTGCTGTGCAGTTCAGACTGGCCTTGAACTCACTTTGTAGCCCAGGATGGTCTTAAATTTGGAATGAACCTCTTGCCTCAGCCTCCCAAGTATGGGATTATAGGCATGCGCCACCACGCCCAGCTCAGACCAGCAGTTCTAAGACTGAGCTTCTGCCCCACACAGTACAGTGACAGGGAGGCCATGACTCTGTGTGTGCCCTGTGTTTTAAGGTTACTGGCTGTGCACAGAGAGATGTTGGAAGTTCTCAGGGAACCAGGTGCATGCGTGCCCACCATTTGGAGTTTTAGAACTAAGCCAGGAACAGGTGGACTGGAGAGAGGACAGTCGCGTATGTTTATGTTTGAGGTCTCTGAGCCCCTGCTCAGCAGGAAATGCAGTGAGGGTATGTGCTACCACCCAGGGCAGAGCAGCACTGCTTCCTGAGCCTGTAGCAGGCTGGGAAGGTCCTGGGGCATGAGAACAGTTGTGGTATAGGCCAGGTGATGGTGGCACCCTGCCTGAGGCAACAGGCGGATGCAGGGGGGTCCTTGCCTAGCCTGTGACAACCGGCCTCCACCTACAGTGTCACGGGTGTGAACAGCAGGCCTCAGGCTTAGAAGAAGCTATGTGAAGCCCAAAGCCACAGGTGGTCACAGCAGAGCTCTTGTGGGGACAGGGCAGAGGTGTGGGAGGAGGGCGTGGCCAGACCTGGCTGCACTGGTGGCAGCAGTGGCAGGGCCTCTCGTGCCCTGGGCTGAGTACGTGGATTGCTGGTGCAGAGCTAGACCTAGTGGGAATCTGGGTACCGATTACTGCTTATAGTGCTAAAGAACCACCGCTAGGCTGGGCTCCCTCGGCAGCAGAGGCCGCACACAGCATGCACGCCCCGTGTTCTGTCCCCAGCACCAAGAGAGCCGTCGTTGTGTCTGCTTCTGGGATGACCCCTGCACCATGGCCAGGCTTCAAAGCCAGCCATGATGTGGCCCCGGCTGAAATGACGCAGCATCCAGGCTGGGCTGTTCAAGGGCCCAGACAGGGATGGCAAGTAGCGCGGCCCTGGCCCACAGATGACGCCGGTGGGCGTGGCAGGTGCGGCAGTGTGCCGCCGTCTGAGCCCAGGCCCAGCTTCCCATAAGGAAGCAAGTCTTTCCTAAACAGAGGAACAGTATGATCCCTCCTGAGAGTTCTTGGTGTGATGCTTTTTCTCTGCTTGGGTTTGACAGATTTGGAACATCGCCACCAACAAACTGACCTTCCTCAACTCCTTCAAAATGAAGATGTCGGTGATTCTGGGAATTGTCCACATGCTATTTGGCGTCAGCCTGAGCCTTTTCAATCACATGTGAGTCACTCTGCCCGGTCGTCAGGAGAGATGAGGCTCTTCCCACAGAGATAAGTCACGCTGACTCTGTGCCATCGCGGTTATTTCACAGAATTCGCGTGGCCCTTGTTTGTTTGAGACAAGATCTCACCATATAGCCCTAACTGACCTTGAGTTGAAGTCCAGCCTGAACTGCATAGCAAGACCCTGTTTCATGAAGACAAAAAAAAGATAAAAAAAGAACAAAGGCCAAGGCTGTCGCTTAGTATTGGGCCTCAGGCCCTGCGAGGCTGGCGGGTCTGCGGCAGCAGCCTCCCATGTACTGGGTTCCCCACTTTCACATGGGAAGGGGTGGGGAGCCCTCTCGCATCTCTGAGAGTGCTGGTGTGCGCCTAGTTCTGACTGGGAGCCCCTTGGACACAGACTGAATGAGCTTCTGGGGCGCAGTCGGCCTCGCACTCGCCTGGGCTTTCCTGGTCTCTTCCTCCAAACAGTGAGCAGCCCCCCTTCTGCCCCTGCAGCTACTTCAAGAAGCCCCTCAACATCTACTTTGGGTTCATCCCGGAGATCATCTTCATGTCCTCACTGTTCGGCTACCTGGTCATACTCATCTTCTACAAGTGGACGGCCTACAGCGCACACACGTCGGAGAGCGCGCCCAGCCTGCTCATCCACTTCATCAACATGTTCCTCTTCTCCTACCCCGAGGGCAACGCCATGCTCTACTCTGGACAGGTGCGTGGGCCAGCAGGCAGGCATGTGTGCTGTTGGGCGGGCGGGCGGGCGGGCAGGAACCCGGACTTTTCTCTTGCCTGGGAGCTGAGCCTTTGGTGTTGAGCCCAGAAGTGCAGCTGTGAAGGCAGCCTGGCCCCTGGGTGCCTGCAGTTTCTGAACCCGAAAGGGCAGCTCTTGGGTGTCCCGTTATCTGGGAGGCGGAAGGTGCTGCTCGGGTTCCTGGCCTGGACCCCGGTGTGCAGCCGGCTGGGACGTGACCTGACACACTGTCCTTTTTCCACCCCCACCCCCCACAGAAGGGAATCCAGGGCTTCCTCGTGGTGGTCGCGCTGCTGTGTGTGCCCTGGATGCTGCTGCTGAAGCCGCTGGTCCTGCGCCGCCAGTACCTGAGGAGGAAGCATCTGGTGAGTGTCTGCTGTCTGGGTCACTAGATGTGTGGGAGGCAGCTCCCAGAGGTCAAGAACCACTGTGCATGCACGTGGATTTGCTTACGAAACACCAGCCCATGTCCCAGCATCACCTGGGGCACAGACACACACTGAGCACCCACATGTCTGGGTCCAGCTCCAAGGGTTGGGTAGAAACCAAGGCGCAGCTTAGGTCCCAGCTATGCTTCATGCTGGCTGTGCTGAGCAGAACTGGGCTGGGCCGTCTGACATAAGCTTGGCCCTGGGCGGCCTCGGGGCAGCCTGAGACTGCCGTTTAAAGTGAAGCATGCACCCACTGGAGTATCTGGGAAAGGTTTGCCTTAAAGCACGTTGGCATTTTTCTTCTCAAAAAGCAATGTACCTGCGCCTGCACCCCTGTGTGCGCTTGAGTTCTGGGCCTGGCACAGTCGGCCGGGGCTGGGCACAGAGCCGTGGTTGCCGTGCGCTTCCTGCAGTGCAGAGCAGTGAGTGATGAGCCCCCCCTCTTCCTCCCCAACCATCTTCATCCCCCACGCCCCATCGCTCGCCCCTGCCCTCCCTCTGCTCTTGTCTTCCTCTCCCTCCTTCTCTTCGCACACCGCACCATCAGGAAGGGCAACCCGTGGAGGCCCCAGGGAGCCCCGCCCCGAGCCAGCAGGGACTAGAGGCAGCAGCAGCCGCGACAGTGAGTGACTCCCGTCCACCCCATGGCACGCTGTGTCTAAGGAGGGGCAGACGGTGCACAGGCTGCCTTGTCCCAGCACTGATGTGGGCTGTGTCCTTGGGGAGCATGTCCCCTTGCTCCCTGATGGCAGAAGTGCACTCCACCTCTTAAGAACAGACTGGTGTGGCTGTTGCCTCTGTCCGCCAGTCCCCACACGGAATGTAAGTACAGAGCCCTCCCTGGCAGGCGAGCGGCTGCTGTGAGTCCTGCATCCCGTCCCATCACCCTAAGCCGAGGTGGTGGCTCCTGGCTCGTGCCTCAGCCACACCCAGTGACCGGGCAGTGAGCTTTCACCTGGAAGGAGGGCTTCTGGTCTCAGCTGCACTTGCTGCACTCAAGGCTCTGCTTCAGAGCGCAGCCTGGACGCCTGGTCCTTGTTAGCATGACTCTCCCGAAAGTGCGAGTGTGGACGTGCTTCCTTCTCGTGGGAAGTCGGGCGCCGCATGGCCTCAGCTCTTCGCAGCCCTGCCCTCCTCCCACGTGCTGCACATCTGCTGTGGTGGCCAGTGGCCTTCTGCCTTTACATCTGGTGTGGTGGCTGGTCCCTTCTGTCTCTGTGTCTGGTGTGGTGGCCGTTCTTCTGTCTTGTAGGGGCCAGAGTCACCTTCTGGCTTGATCTGCCCCTTCAAGACTCTGGTGCAGTAATAGCACTTAGAGCGTTAAGCATTTGAATATTCGTCCTTTCAGTCTTCTTTTAACCAGTCTCCCGCCTTGCCTCAGTCCTTCTAGACTACGAATCATAGTTTTCTAACTCCCTGGCAGCACTTTCCTATGTGTGCCAAGTCTCAATAGCACTGAGTCCTTCAAAGGAGCAGGCACCGTGGTACACACCTGCAATCCCAGCACTCTGGAGCTGAGATGAGGTTACTGTGAACTTGAGGCCAGCCCAGGCGTAGCGGAACTGCACAGCAAGACCTTGTCTCAAAAAGGGGGCGGGGGGGATGGCTCAGTGGAATAAGCACCTCGCTGGCAAGCTCAGGAGCCCGAGTTTAATCCCTGGTTCCGCAAGAAAAAAAAAAAAACAGTCCAGGCTGGGGAGATGGTTCAGTAGATGAGCACTTGCCTGGCAAGCACAAGGGTCTGAGAGCAGTCCTCGGTTCTGCCAAATAAAAATAAAAAGTCCTCTGAAGAAATGAAACCCAAGGTAGATGACCAAGCCTCTCAGGTGCCCTGACTATTCTGAACTCAGCCCACAGCCAGGCTATAAAACTACCCTGAAAGGGCTGGCACTGGGGGACACAGACATTTAATCTTGGCTCTTACAGCTGTTTTCAGGCAGGGCCTCTCCTCTCTGCGCAGAACTGCTTGAGCACACCTCTTCCACACTTCTCTCTGCCACTCCTGAGGGGCTGAGCTGGTCTTGATGCTTGGGAATCTGGCACGCTGTCCTGGGACGAAGCCAGCATCTGTCCAGGCTTTCTCTCCGCCCTTCTGCAGCTGCTGCCTTTCTCTGTGCCACAGCATCAGACAGCAGAGCTACAAGGAGGACCTCAGACCCTTGGCCCCTGGCCTTGGCCCTGGATGCTCAGCTGTCATGGTGCTGTGGTCCAGCCTCTCGGCTGTGGAGTGACCTCCTAGGCACAACCTGCCTTCTCCTTTCTGCTGATTGTCCCTCCCTCTGCTCTGAGAGCCGAAGGCCTGAGGTAGCACTCCTCCGTGTCCCTCCCAGGAGCTGATACCTGGGGGCTGCGCAGGCAGCCTCTACTCTGGGCTTTGCACCCTGCACCCTCCTCTGCTGCCCTTGTGCCCAGCCCAGGACATGTCAGGCACCCCTCCTGGGCCCGCTGCAGCCCTTAGTTCTCTCTTGAGGGTGGTCACATGTGCCACGACAGCACGCTCACCTACCATGGTCACCGGGCCTCGCTCTGGGTAATTCCCAGCTCCTCCTCAAAGTCAAAATGAGCATGAGAGCTGAGCATTTTGAACTGATCCTGGACACTGAGGCAGCCATAAGCCAACTGAAACCACAAAAGATGATTTCCATACCTGCTTCGGACACTGGCCAGAACACAGGTGTTTGATCAAGGGAAGCATTTTAAGCAGGGTTAATGACAAGGTGGAATTTACTGGAATAATTTTTATTTTTATCATGCCTCATATTTCTTAGCAAAACAAAACAGAAGGACTGGTGAGATAGCTCAGCAGACTAAGCACCTGCTTTGGCAAGTGCAGGGACCAGGGTCATGATCCCTGGTCCTGCCCCCAGGGTGCACTTAGCCAGTGACAGAGTCCAGGTGTAGTAGCGCCCACCTGTCATCCCTGAACTGGGGAGGCTGAAAAGAGGAGGATCATTACGAGTCTGAGCTGCTTAGTGAGACCTTGTACCAAATACATAAATGAAAAATAAAACAAAAATCCAGAAAGTAGCTCATAATCCCATAACCCTGACAATCCACTACTGATGTCACAAAAATACATTGTTCTTCACTGGTTAAGGGCACGGCGCTAGCCAAGAGCCCCCTGTGGTGCTGTTCTGCGGTGGGCGTTTCGGTGGGGAGGGCCGTGCTCCTGGCATCTATCAGTGGTTGGTACAAGTGTGTGCGTGTGCGTGTGTGTGTGTGCATGCATGCGCCTGCCTGGGGGCCGTTATACACTGCAGCACTCTCCTGCCCCATGGTTAGTGGGTGTCTCAGTCATTGTGTCCTCCCATTGTCACTGTTTCCGTGGCCTCCCAACCCGTAGGGTAGTCCACCTTGGCTGTTCCCAGTTCTCTGTGATTATACTCTATGATGCGGGACTGTCTGGCCTGTGTGTCTAAGTTTAGCAGGCGCAGGTGTCCCAGAGGGGATTGGGAGTCCTGAGGGTGCACGTGTTCTGTGTAGGGGGTCTCCTGAGCATCACACAATCCGGGTGCACAGGGAAGTCTTGAAACAGAGGGCCGGGGAGATAGCTCAGTGGCATAAGCACCTGCCTGGCAAGCGCAAGTCCTGAGTTTGATTCCCCGTACCACACACACACACACAGAAGACGTAATAACAATAGCGATCCTGAGATGGACACTGCTGGCCGCAGGACTAGAAAGCCTGTTTAGAAGGCAGCTGCCAGGGGACTGGGAGGCACCGCTGGACTCGGTCACAGGGCAGCCCTAAAGGGTGACACCAGAGGGGCCGCAGGGAGCCTCAGGGAGCAGGTGAAGGGTCCCAGGGCTCCTCTCCCTCAGGCACAGTGACCGCACACTGGCATCTGTCGGACTCACCCACTCCTGCCAGAGATTCTTTTTGACTCAGTAAACCCCAACTTTTTCAGATGAAGTTAACTTTAAAATTTGCATAGAGAGGTAGGTATGGCAGGGCATACCTGTCATCCCAGCACTCTGAGGCAGGAGGATCACAAGATCAAGCTCAGTTTAGGTGATTCAGTAACTTAAAGGTCCTGGATTCAGTCTCAAGTACCAAAAAGAAAATCTACACCCCCCACGCCCTCACCCCACCCCCAGCCCCGTCTGGGTCCAAGGCTGTAGCTCAGTGGCATAAGCACCTGCCTGGCAAGCACAAGATCCTGAGTTCAATCCCTGGTACCAGGGAAAAAAAGTGGGGGTCAGCACCCCAAGTGTTTGGACAGAAGGGGCCCCTCGTCTAGGGAGCCCTTGTTCCCAGAGGAGCCCTGGCCTCTCCCGGAGCCGAGGGCCCTGTGGGCCGCATGTTAGTGGGTGCGCGGAACGCCTGCCACGCCCTGCAGGCTGCTCTGACAGTGATGGCTGGGAGGGCTCTGGCGGTGGCCCCCATGCAGCCGAGCCCCCCGGCCTCTCTAGCCCTTCCCCTGGGAGGCCAGCGACTCTGTGTGCGGCGGATAGCGTGGTGTGAATAAATCCTGGGGGCAGCTGTGGGGTCGTTTCTATACAGCCTTGGATTGCGGTCCTTTCCTGTGGGCCCGTGCCCCTGAGGTTTGTACGCACTAACCACGCCCTTCCCACCTCGCAGAACCCACTCACCTAAAGCCCAGGCAAATTCTACTCTTTCTGTTCGTCTGTGTAGGGAACTCTCAACTTTGGTGGGATCAGGGTGGGCAACGGACCGACAGAGGAGGATGCTGAGATTATTCAGCATGACCAGCTCTCCACCCACTCGGAGGACGCGGAAGAGGTAAGGTCCAGCGGCGTGGCTCCTGCCTGCACTCGGGACGCCTGGCTTGATTTTCTAGAAGGCTCATGCTCGTCTTCTTGCAAACTAAAAGTACTAACAGGCGGCCGCCTCCCAGGCCCGCCGTTGCTGGGCCTGCTCTCCGCGCTCTGGGCCCGCCCTGCAGCCTCTTCTTCCCGCCCCCGGTCGGTCGGCACTGGCGGTCCTCTGCACAGCGCTGCTGCTAGCGATGCCAGGCAGCGCCCGCGGCGCGCTCTGGTCTACAGAAACACGGGCCTGGGAAGCGTCTTTCTCTTGCACGCGGGGCCCAGCTGCCCCCGCCGCTCTGCCCCTGCCGGCCGCCAGCCGAGCCTGTGTGCCGGGGCCCTGGGTCCAGGCTTAATCCCCCAGCTGGCTTCTATCCCAAGCGTTGGGCGTCTCCTCGAAACGCGAGCCTCAGTGCTGTCCCTTGCTGCTGAGTTTGGCCGGGCCAAGCAGCCCTGCCTCCGCAGCAGCTGCGGGTTAGGGTGTGTCTTAACCTGTGACTGCGTGTGCGTGCCTCCCACTAAGTGTGCGTTTGTGTTTTCAAGCCTGCCGAGGATGAAGTGGTAAGATGAAAGCCTGTCTGTTCTCTGGGCTTCTCCTCTCCCATCTGTGAGCACTCTGTGGGCCCCACCGCGCCCGGGCCGCTCGGGCACGCCCCGCGCACGCGCACGCACCGCTATCTCCCGGCTCCGAGCCTGTGTTGTGCACCACTCATCTCCATCCTGCTGTGTCGTCACCTCTGTCTCTGTGTCGTGGGTTTGCTGATCTAACACCTCTCAGTGGCTTGGAAGGACTGCAAGTCCTGGCCACTGTGCTCGCACAGGGCCCGGGCCTGGGCCCAGGCTTGGCCTCCCCCTCCTCTCCTGGGCGGTGCGGGGTGGCGTCTGTGCCCTGCACGCTGAGCGCAGGGCCTCTTCAGCCTAATGCTCCTGCTGGCTCTGCGCAGACACACTTGGTGCGAGGTGGGCGGTGCCCAGGAACGGCCTCGCCTGTCGGATGCTCTGGGGAGGCGGCAAGGCTGGCTGGAGCAAGGCCACCTCCAGAGCAGGGGTCCCTTTAGTGCCACACGTTTCAAATCGAGCCTGAGAGGCCTCGCTGCACTGTTCCATGTTCCTCCAGGGCTTCTGCTATCCTGGCCCTGGGCTCAGCGGATGCCTCTGCTTCCGATGGAGAGGTGCACTGGGTCCTATTGAGGCTGGAAGGGGCTTCCCTGGCACTAGGGTGTCCTGTGCCCCCCACCCAGTGCCCAGCTACCGCCAGAGGGGCAGCTGACTGTTTGCACTAGGGTCCGCCCTCTTGGCCCTGTCCTGGGCATGGGAGGAGCAGAAGCCACCCGCTCGGTCTCCCGGCCCTGGCCCACACCCTGGGCTGCACAGCCATCACAGCAGGTCACGTTACCAGGGAACTGTGCCAGCCTCCTATTACCTCCAGCAGAGCAGGCTGCTTAGGAAAGATGGCCCCATCTGGGGGTCCCCATGGGCCAGCTGAGGCACCTGCCCCTCCTGCCAGCTGTGACCCTCCTGGGTCACGGTGGGAAATGGGAGCATGTCTGGATTTTGTGGGACATGCACAAGCTCCCGGAAGCCAGGCCCCTGTGAGGAGTCCCCAAGGTTGGGCTCCACTAGGTGAGCCGAGGGGGGAGCCAGGTGGGCACAGGAGCCCGAGGTGGCAGAGCGGTAAGCACTGGGGACCCAGCTGGAGCTGGAGGAGGCTCAGAGACCTGGGGAGCCTGGGTGGCCATAGCAAGGGAGGGCCTGTAGTGACAGCTGCTGCAGAGGGACAGTCCCCGCCCCTAAGTGGCTCTGAGATTCAACTTGCAGGAAGTAAGAGTGAGGGCAGACCAGAGGGTAAGGCCAGGAAAATTGAGCAAGAGAAGGCTGGGGTGCAGTGGCTCCTGGGGCTGTGCTGAAACACAGCCCTGCCCTGCCTGTCCCCTCTCCTGAAAGAGCACAGCAGGGAACGGGGAGGGTGGGGAGAGGTGGCTGCCACTGTCCTCCTCCATGCTGGGCAGCCCTGTGCTGGGGACTGGGGTGCCCGGGTCACTACAGCTTCAGGGTGAGCAGGCCCAGGAGTTGCTCTGTGAGAAGCTGGAACGCACTAGGTGTGTGGTGGGATGAGGGACAGTGAGCCCCTCCGTGGCCACAGTCTGCAGCTCCACCAACCCAGCCCTCAGTCTGGGCAGAGATGGGGTGAAAACCAGACCCTGACTCCGGCAGGAAGCAGCCACTGAGCCCAGGAGTGGAGCCTGAGGATGGGCCCAGCCTGCAGGAACTCAATGCAGGGCCCTCGTGGAGCAGATGGCTGCTGGGCCCGGCTCTGGAGGCTGCTGGACTCAGACCCCCCACTGCCTAGGCAGCCCCAGACGGGTCCAAGAGCTCGTCCAGACGCGCCTTCCAGAGTGAGCGTAGCATGGACACAGGAACGGGTGGAGCCCCAGGACTGTCACTGTGTGGGGGATCTGCCCCATTCCCTGGGGACCCCTCAAAAGCCACAGAAGGAAAGGAGACCACCACGCCCTGGAGGCTGCAGACGCGAATAGCAGAGGCCACCAGGCTTTGCAGTGAGCAGGCAGCCTGTAGCCCTCCCCACCCAAGGGCCCAGGGCTCAGCCCCAGCCCCCCAGAGGGCCTGCACAGCAGGGCCCGTGCGGCAGGCAGGCACGGGAGGACAGTGTTGAGAAGTGCACCGAGATAGGGTAGGAGCTGGCAGTGGTGGTGCACATGTGTCATCCCCACTCTGCAGGAGGCTGAGGTAGGACAATCCCAAACTCAAGGCCAGCCTGGGTAACTCAATGACGTAGCAAGACCTTGTCTCAAAATAAAAACTAAGTCAGGGTGGGGGATGCAGCAGCTCGGCGTGAGGGCCCTGGGTTCACCCTCCAGTACTGCAAGCAAAACCAAACTATTCCAGTCTGCCGCGGCAGGAAGCAGGGACTGGCACTGCGTGGCAGCTCTGGCCGGTGAACCCCCGCTCCTGCGTGGCACCCTTCCGGCCTCATGGCCTCTCTCTGGCTTCCTCCACGACAGTTTGACTTTGGAGACACCATGGTGCATCAGGCCATCCACACCATCGAGTACTGCCTGGGCTGCATCTCCAATACTGCCTCCTACCTGCGGCTCTGGGCGCTCAGCCTGGCCCATGCGCGTGAGTAACCGGGCTGTGGAGCTGGGGAGCTGAGGCCGGGAGGAGCGGGGCTCTGCCCGCTGGGTCCCGTGGGCTGACCACACTGCCTCTGCCCCAGAGCTCTCCGAGGTGCTGTGGACCATGGTCATCCACCTGGGCCTGAGCGTGAAGAGCCTGGCGGGGGGCCTGGCGCTTTTCTTCATCTTTGCCACCTTCGCCACGCTCACCGTGGCCATCCTGCTCATCATGGAGGGGCTCTCCGCCTTCCTGCATGCCCTGCGGTTGCACTGGTAAGTGGCAGCCAGGCTCCCAGGTCCGAGCCCTGAGGCAGACCAGTGTCTCCAAGGCTCCCCACGTGGCACGTGGAGCAAGCCCACAGAAAGCCTGCTTGTCCTGCTGTGGGCTCCCAGGAGACCTCTAGCCATTAGCCCCCTTCAGTGCCCTGTAGCCCAGGCTGGCCTCAAACTCATGGGAATCCTCCTGCCTCAGCCTCCTGAGTGCTGGGGCTACAAGCATGTGCCAGCACAGCCACCAAAGGCTGGTTTTCAGTAGGAGCATTTTCCAGTGTGGTCTGCGCCATCGTCACGCCCTCTGTGCTGTGATTCACCCCTCCCTTGCGCTGTCCTTCCCTCCCCCTTTCCCTTGAACTCAGGCACTTCGGCTTGCCAGGCAACACTTGTTCTACTGGGCCGTCTTCCTGGCCCCTTGCCCCTTTCCCTTTTGTCCTGGGCCTGAAGCCCGGGTGCTCACCGCTGAGCTGCAGCCCAGCTCTTTTGAGTCAGAGTCTCACCCTATTACGCAGCAGGACTGCACCTTGCAGTCATCCTGCCTCAGCCTCCCTCTGCTGACATTGTAAGTACCCAACTTTTTTTTTTTTAATTTTTTATTTATTTATGTGTGTGTGTGTGTGGCCAGCTCAACCCACCAGGGGGCGGCGCTGGCTGGCATGTGGTGCTGGGGGATCGAACCGCGGTCCCTGTGCTTTGCCAAGCTTGTTCCAAGTAGGTGCTTTAGACCACTGAGCCATCTCTCCAGCCCCAGTACCCAACTTTGTACTGGAAGAATTTCCCTTTTTTTTGGGATTCTCCAACCTCCAAGTCTGAAACTCTGGACACAGTTCCAAAGGGTCTCGGTCGGTCGGTCTCTCTCTCTCTCTCTCTCTCTCTCTCTCTCTCTCTCTCTCTCTCTCTCTCTCCCCACACACACACAGTGTTTTGCAGGGGAAAGGGTCCCACACTCGCTGAGCCACCCCAGGAATCACTGAGGTAAGGTCACTGTACTGGTGACCTCCGGACCAGGTTGGGCGTACCTGCCCCCCACCCCCCAGAGCCTCCACTCTGACCCAGCGGCCTTGCCCCTCCCCTTCTCTGGGATCACCTGGGTGGGTCACCTGGAGCCCTCAGAGGATGCCACCTGGTTGTGCAGACGGGAACCAGCTTGTCGGGGGCTGGGGGCACAGTGCCACTTGCTTACTGGCCAGCCTGGCAGGTATCCAGCTTATCAGCCTCGGCGGCTGCTTCCTCCTGGCCCGCCCACCGGGTGACTCACTGTTTCCTGTCCTATGCTTGGCTCCCCGGGCCAGGCGGAGCTGCCCACAGCGGGCTGCGGCATGAGAAGCCCCCTCCCACCCTGCAAGGCTCACAGAGCGTGTGGGTCCAGGGCCGCGGGCACAGAGCCACAGCCCACAGGGCAGCTTTGGACCCAGGGTCCCTCTGGGGAGAGGCAGAGCTGGCACTGGGCGCTGCAGCGGCATCCTGCGCCCCCTGCTGGTGACAGGCGTCCCTGGGCTGGGAGGAAAACCACTGTTCAAGATTCATGAAAGTTGGCAGAAGCCAGGGGACCCACGCGGCGGCCCCCGCTGTGTAGGCCCAGCATTCGGCAGGCTGAGGTGGGAGGATCACAGGTACAAGCCAGCCTGGCAGCTTAGTGAGACCCTGTCTCAGAATCACATCAAAGGGGCCACCGCTACAGGAGGAAGTGGGGAATGGAAGGGAGGCGACATGTCTGCAGAAGGCAGGTAAGCAGGCTGTCTGACCCTGGACAGACCCACAGTGTTGGCGGGGCTCCTGCTGCAGAACACTCGCTGGCACCACGGGCCCTCAGGTGTCCTGGTGCCACGCCCTCACCTCCATCCAGCTCTCGCAGCAGGGTGGGTGGGGTGGCGTTGCCAGGCCCCAGGTTGCTCCAGTCCCTACCTCTGTGCAGCCCCCGAGGTGCAGGAAGGAGTAGAGAGGCACCAAGAGGAGGGGAGCCCCATGCCCCTGAGGGCAGAGCCCCCTCTCCTTCCTATACACCTCTGCCCCCAGAAAGCATGGTGGCTGCATGACGCGTGCTGGAGGTCAGGAGCCAGCTCAGCAGACCCTCAGGCCTTGCCATGCAGGGCGCCCTTGCAGCACCCATGTGGGCTGCAGAGCGAAACAGAAGTGGGGGCCCTGCGCAGTGGGGTGGCAGGGAGTCACAGGGGCCAGCCCTGCTCCCCAGCAATGGCCTTGGGAGCTGGGCCACTGGGAAGGGCCTTAGGGGTGTTGGGGGTGAGTCTAGCCCCCCCTCTAGTCTGGAGCACCTCTGCCTGCACCCTGCACCCCTCCAGCTCTTCTTTCAGGCTGCGGTGCCCTGGCCCAGAGCCAGTGGAAACTGCCCTGGGCCTCTCCCGGCACTCCTCTGAGCTGAGCGAGGTTTTCTGCCCATATTTGGCCGCATGCTGGCCGCGGGCAGCCCTCCAGGGCAGGGCAGGGGTGCCTCTTCCTGCTGGTGCAGAGGGCCCGGCTGGAAGGAGCTGGCCTGCCTTCCCCTCAGTCCCCAGAGAAGAATTCTCTCGCAGATGTTTTTGTGGTTGGAACATATTTTTGCCTTGGGCTGAGAAGACTTCCCCTGCTGACTTCCCGTTTTCCTGGGAATTTCCTCCCCTGCCCTGAAGGCTTTGGGGACTTCACTCCCCACCCGTATCTCCCTGCCTCCCCTCCAGAAAAGAACTAGGGAGCTGGATGTTGAGGGAGAGGGTGCTGGGCCCCCCATGCACTTTTTGGCTAGCTCTGCTCTACTTGGGCTTTGGGGAAGATGGGCTCAGGCCCACCTGGGAGTCCCGGAGAGTTGTGGGAGGCGTCTGTGGGCTGGGTGTGGGGCACCTACCTGCAGGCAGCTGCTGGGAACCTAAAGCAGGAGGTGTGCACCTTTGAGCGCAGCCTGGGCAACTCAGTGATTTAGCCAGAGCTTATCTGAAAACTTTAGGAGGCTGGGGATGTAAAGTGGGAGTGCCCTGGGCTCAACTCCCAGTACTATTTTGAAAATGTATTTAATTAGGGACAGGGCTGGCTTTGCACTTGGAGTGATCTCCCCGCCTCAGCCTCAGTACAGGCCTGTCTCACTGCACCCTGCTTTCCCAGTTCTGTTAAAAAGAAACCTGCTGCCAGCTGGTGACTGCTCTCCCCTTTCCCAGGGTCGAGTTCCAGAACAAATTCTACAGCGGGACCGGCTTCAAGTTCCTGCCCTTCTCCTTTGAGCACATTCGTGAGGGGAAGCTGGACGAGTGAGCCCTGGGCCTAGTCCCGAGCGCCCGCCCCGTCCCCTCCTCAGGGGTGGATTGTGCCATGTTCGCTGTCTGTGACGCTGCGGGTGAGTGCACAGCCCGCCTCCTCTGCACTTGGCGGAAGCCATGAGCTGCCTTCTGCCCAGCGGCCCGGGCCTGAGGCCCTCCTGGGGCACAGCTGCTGCCCGGCCACAGCAGAGCAGACGGGCTCTGTCCTGAAGGGGGCGCTACTTATTTATCACATCCCAAGAGCCCCCAGACCCAGCGCCACCCTGTGCGTCCTCCTCCCGCCCGCCCGCAGCACCGTCCTGTCCTGCGCAGGCCTAGGCCTGCAGGTGGCCTGCTGTGCCCCAGGGTTCCCTCCCCACTTCCCGGGGACTCAGGCTCAGGCCTGGTGACCTGGGCAGAGACGGTGTGGTACCGATGCTCTGTGGGTGGGGGGTGACTCCTGCAGCTGAGGGGCTCCCCGCGCCCCCACCCTGGCTGCGGCTCCTAGGGCATTGGATCCAGCAGCCCAGCCCAGGTCCAGTGGAGGTGCGCCTGGCCCTGAGCCCTCCTCCTGCCGCCTGCCCAGCCCGAGCCCCCCCATGCATTGCCCATGCCCACGGAGACCAGTGCCGTGCATGCCTGTCCTCTGCCCCTCTGTTCACAAACCTGTGCTCAATAAAGTGTGTCAGACTCCAGGGACCCTGCCGGCCTCTGCCTCTGCCGCCGCCCCGCCCTGCCCCAGCAGAGGCTTGAGCCATGGCCCAGCTGGCAGGCACTCCGGGATTCTCGCCTTATCTCCGCTTTCCGTCCTCTTGGCACTGGGTGGGCACCGCACCCCTCCCCCTGCACATTCCTTAGGGTGGGCCATATCTCCCCCACATACAGTCCCTGCTCTCTGCTTTTTGAGCCCATGCCCTTGGCCGTGGGCCGCAGGGAGTGCGCATTCTCGAAGCTGCTGGCGCTGGAGGAGATGGACAGCAGGGCCAGGCTCTGGGTGTGAGCTGCAGGCTCAGAACACGAGGACACTGCCCGCCTGCCCAGAGAAGGCTCCCTCAGCTGCTGCCCTCACTGCTTCACGATGGGCTGCCTCTGCGGCCAGGACCCTCAGGCGGAGGGTGGGCTGGGTGGAGACAGCTCTGCAGACAGCCAGCGGGGGCACCCCTCTGCACAAGGCAAAGAAGAAAGGGGAGTCAGATGGTCAGTGCCGGGTGTCAGTGACCCCCAAATGCCAGCGTGGGGGGAGGGGAACTCGGTACTCTGGACTTGAAAAACTGAATCTGGAGCCTCTGAGGTCAGAAGAAATAGTGAAGACAGCCTGGGTGGGGGAGCTGTTCAGAGATCCTCACCTGACCTCCGCAACAGATAAGCAGGCAGCCTGGAGTGGCCGCGGCTTTTCAGGCCACTAAGGATTTAAAAGTATTTCTCCAAGTCATGAAACCGTGAAAAGATGCTCAACATCATCTGCCATTACAAAAATGCAAATTGAGTCAGGTGTAGCAGCCCGTCCTGTCATCTCACCGCTGGGGAGGCTGAGGCAAGAGGATCACTGTTTCAAGGCCAGCCTGGGCTACATCGTGAGTTCAAAGCCAGGAGATCCTATCTCAAAAGGAAAATGCAAATCAAAACTACAGCAGGGAGCCAGGTATGGTGAGGCTGCCTGTACTCCCCAAACTCAGGGAGCAGAGGCCTGAGGATCAGGAGTTCAAGGCTAGCCCAGTAAGACTCTGTCTCAAAAGACAAACATGTAATCCGGGCAAGGTGGTATCCCTGTAATCCCGGCACTTGGGGGTGGGGTGAGGCAGGAAGATCGTTGTTTGAGACCAGTCTGGGCTACAGAGTGAACTCAAGGCCAGCCTGAACTGCATAGCAAGACCCTGTCTTACCAAAAAATACCTATGTGTTTTTTGGTCCAAGTTCCTTGCACCAAAGCTGTGTATTCGGGTTCAGAAGCAAACCCCAAGTATATTTGCTAAAGTGTGAAACAAGCCCACAGCAAGTATTAGTGAGCAGGTGGAACCCCATTCCCTGCATGAAAAATCGCGCACTTCCTGGCAGCATTAAACATGGGCCGAACAAAGGGCCCAGCTGGTCCAATTCTTGGTACCTACGCAGGGGGGAGCTCGCAGCAGCCCCTGCTCAGCCTGAGTGCCGGGATGACGGTGTGCGCCACCACACCCACTGGGCATAGTGTCTTTTTTTTTTTTTTTTTGTACTAGGGATCGAACTCAGAACCTTACCCTTACCAGGCAGGTGCTTATGCCACTGAGCTATCTCCCCAGCCCCTGGACTTAGTGTCAAATGTCACAGTGCTATGGCTTCTTCTGAAACCGGAAGCCTGGCAGGCAGCACCACTTTGCCCCAGGCTCTCTTGGTTCCTGCTGTGGACAACAGAGACAAAGGATGACCCCTCCAGGGTCCTGGGGGCCACCGGTCATGCGCCAGGAAACTGTCCGGGAAGACAAAGGCCGAGTGAATGCTAATTCAGCAGCGGTGTCTAACTTTGAGGGAGGCATGGCTGAAAGAACAAAGGAAGCGGCTTCTGTTCCTTCTGCCCGGTGGGGTGCGGTGCGGTGCGGTGCGGAGCTCAGTAAGTATCAGCTCAATAAAAACAATTGCCCAAAGAAATTCCCTCAAACAGAAACAGTCCCAACGTCCCTCAGGGGATGCCCGAGTACAGACGAAGGGCCTCGCCACTGGATGCGTCTTGTTCTATCGTGCAGAGGCTGAGGTCCTGGGACGCCGCCACTGCCCAGGTCTGGGCTGGGGCAGCCGCGTTACTCTGAGGTCCCAGAGCAGGGCAGGAATGAAAGGAATACTAAAATGGAAACCTTACTGAGAGTCCCTATTAAGAAAAGAGGTGTTGGGGCCGGGGAGATAGGGCTGAGTTCAACCCCGGCTTCCGCAAAAAAAAAAAAAAAAGGAAAAAGAACAGAGGTGTTTGATCTCGGTCACAGTTCATCACCTAGTGCAACCACAGAAGGGTTTTGTTGGTGTTTAAGCACGAAAGGAGACTGCCCGGTTGGCCCGGTTTGGCTTTTGGAGCTGGGGTCTTGCTGCACTGCCTGGCAGCCGGGACTGCGGCGCACACGGCCGGGCCCAGCCAGACTTTGCACAGAATCAGTGTGCAGAGCCCCCCAGGCCGCCGCCGAGCTGCAGGGCGGGGAGATGCGCGCCCCCAGGCCTGGTACGGCACCTCCTGCCCAAGCGCGCTTCCCAGTCGGGGAAGTGAAGACAAGGCCGGCCGTGCCCTCCCCTGGCCCTGAGCCCTCCCCGGCCGCCCGGCTCTCCAAACGCGCAGCCCCTTTCGCTCCCTCTGAGCCCGCCTGCCCCCTCGCTCCCGTCAGGCCGCCCCCTCTCCCTGCCATCCAGACGCTGCCGGGCCAGGGCCTCTGCACTTCTCCGGGGCTGCTGTGCCTTCACCAGCAGCCAGCAGCCCGTGCAGCCTGGCCAATGCAGTGATTTGGTCTGTTTCAAAATATAAAAAAGGGGGCCGGGGAGATGGCTCAGTAGAAGAAGCGCCTGCCTGGCAAGCGCAAGGACAAATATAAAAAAGGGCTGGAACGTAGCTCAGGGCAAAGGCCCTGGGTGTAACCCCCAGTACAACCAAAAGAAATAAATGTATATTTATTGGGTGGGCTGGAGGAATACAGAAAAAAAAGCACCCGCACGTGTAGGGCAGCCTGTCCCCTGCGGCGGAGACCCGGAGGGCGCGGCCGGCCCGGAAGCGGGGACGCTCGCCAGGGCGGGGCGGGGCGGGGCGGGGCTTCGGGGTCACGTGGCCCGAGCCCCGCAGCTGATTGGTCGCCATTGCCCGTCACCGTCCCACCCCTCAGGCCTTCGGGGTCCACGCGACCATGGTGACTGCGCTGCGGCTCCCGCGGCCCCCGCGGCTCCTGGGCTTCCTGGGGCTTCTGCTCCTGGCCGGGGCCGACGCTCAGGGTGTGGCCGGGGACGAGGCGCGGGAGACGGCGGCCGTGCGAGCGCTCGCGGTCCGCCTGCTGGGGCCCGAGCCCGCGGCCGCCTTCGCGCTGTCAGTGGAGCGCGCCCTGGCGGCCGAGCCTGGCACCGACGTCTTCTTGCTCGGCGGCGGCGGCGGCGGCGCGCCAGTGCGCGTGCGCGGCTCCTCGGGCGTGGCGGTGGCGGCCGGGCTGCACCGCTACCTGCGCGACTTCTGCGGGTGCCACGTGGCCTGGTCAAGCGTCCAGCTGCGCCTGCCGAGCCCGCTGCCCGCGGTGCCCGGGGAGCTGAGCGAGGCCTCGCCCTACAGGTACGGGGAGCCGCCTTCCCGGCCGGACCAAGCGCCCTTGACTAGGTGTCCAGACGAGGGCGCTGCGTGCAGGGCAGGTAGCCCGGGCTTGCGCGGCTCAGGTGCAAAGCTGTGACCCGTGCGTTTTCTGCCCCAGCACTTGGTGATATAGAGTGATGCCCACCCCGCTGCAGCCTCGAGGTCGCCCACTGCCCCGGGGGAGGTGACCCTGTACCCACGGGGTTTCCAGCTGACAGAGGGTAGGGAGCCCTCTACCTGCCCAAACAGTTCCCTCACCCAGGCCTAATGGTGCACACGTGTCATCCTAGCACTTGGGAAGCTGAGGCAAGAAGATCACTGTGCGTTCAAGGCCAGCCTCAACTACAGAGTGAGGACCTGTCACAAAAAAAAAAAAAACCCAAAAACTATAAATACATATCACAAAACTGCTGCCTGCCTGCCCTCAGGTACCGCTACTACCAGAACGTGTGCACACAGAGCTATTCCTTCGTCTGGTGGGACTGGCCGCGCTGGGAGCGGGAGATTGACTGGATGGCGCTGAACGGCATCAACCTGGCCCTGGCCTGGAGCGGCCAGGAGGCCATCTGGCAGCGGGTGCGTGTCCACGGGGCCTCCGTTGCCCTGCCCGCCTGCCACACGGGCCCACGTGTGCAGTGTGTGGCCCATACGGTGAAGGCTCCCGAAGCCTTGAGGAGCTGACCTGGGTAGCCCCTGCCCCGGCTCCGGGACCGGGGCGGGGCTCTTGCACTGAGACTATGAGTTTGCTCAGTGCGTTCCCGCCAGCGGAGACGGACATGTCCATCCTGTGTGACACTCCCACTCCCCAGGTGTACCTTGCCCTGGGCCTGACCCAGGCAGAGATCGATGAGCACTTCACCGGCCCAGCCTTCCTGGCCTGGGGGCGCATGGGCAACCTGCACAGCTGGGGCGGCCCCCTACCCAGAGCCTGGCACCTCAAGCAGCTCTACCTGCAGGTATGGGAAGGGACAGTGGCTTAGTGTCATCTGCCCCCAGAGCCGGGCCCTTGGTCACTGTCTGCCTCTCCTCTCAGCACCGGATCCTGGACCGCATGCGTGCGCTGGGCATGACCCCTGTGCTTCCCGCGTTTGCTGGGCACGTCCCCAAGGCCATCACCAGGTAAGCTGTGGCTTAAGGGAAATCTGAGGCCCGTGTGGACCTGGGTGTGGTTCCTGGCTGTTCCCAGCCAGCCTGCCCCATGCCTCAGTGTCCTTGCTGTTCTACCACACTGCACATGACTGCGCGGGACACCAGCAAGTGGCCTCTTTCATTAGCGACTACAGGGAGTGGCCGTGGCTGGGAGGCTATGCCAGCTCCCCCAGTGGCCTCCTGCGTGCCCTTGAGCTCTGGTTCCTGTTCCTGTCCTTGTCCCCGCGCTTAGCATGTGCTGTGGCTGCCCTCCACCCTCACCAGCTGCCTCCGCCCACCAGGCAGCAGGACCTTCATGTAGCCCCTCAGTGACCATTTGACCTGTGTCAGACCCAGCTCAGACAGGGAAGGAGAGTGGCTCCTTTCAGCCAGCAGGAGGGCAGAGCTGGTAGAAGCCTGTAGACAGGTGACTGTCAAAGGAGGCTGTGGGGGCCGGGGAGATGGCTCAGTAGAATAAGCACTTACCTGGCAAGTGCAAGGTCTGAGTTTAAGCCCCAGTTCCACGAAAAAAAAAGGAGACCGTGGGACCTGCAAAGGCCCCGGGACACGAGGACCCAGCTGCCTCTGGGCACTGTTGGGGGTCATGAACCACACGGCCATCTGAGTGTTTGCTCCCCACTAGGGTGTTCCCACAGGTCAATGTCACCCAGCTGGGCAGTTGGGGACACTTCAACTGCTCCTACTCCTGCTCCTTCCTTCTGGCTCCGGGAGACCCCCTTTTCCCTCTCATTGGGAGCCTCTTCTTGCGGGAGCTGAGCAGGGAGTTCGACACAAACCACATCTATGGGGCCGACATTTTCAACGAGATGCAGCCGCCCTCCTCCGACCCTGCCTACCTGGCAGCTGCTACTGCTGCTGTGTTCGAGGCCATGGCTGCAGGTGTGGTGCCTGGGGCCAAGCGGGGCGGGGCGGGGCGGGGCGGGGTGGGGTGGGGCGGGCCATGCTGTCTTGGGCCATGGCTCAAGCCATGGGAAGCCGGCCCGCTCTGTGCCCAAGGAGGCATGCAGCTCAGCTCGGAGCTTTCCTCCCTGCCCTCTGGATGCAGGCGCTGACAGGGCTCCTCCTGCCCTGTGCACAGGGTACTTTGACCAAGTACCTGGGGCAGCAGATGGCATAGCAGAAGTTTCCTTTAACTCAGGCCTGGAGGTTCAAGATCTTTTCTGGAGGTGACGTCTTTCGGGCGGAGCCCAGAGGTAGCACAGGACATCGTCATGTGACAAGGGGCGCACAGTTGTAATCACTGTGCTCCATCCACCTTTCTTAGAAGCCACCAAGGTTCAGCCCCAGGACTGTACCTAAAGGATTCCTCTCACCCTCCCGTAACCCCAAAGGCTCTTCTCTGAAGACTGTGGTCATTTTAAGTCACCCAGCCTGGACTAGGTTTGAGATCCTCCTGCCTCAGCCTCCTAGAGTGCTGGAGTTACAGACATTAACCAGCTCTCTAGGTAGTGCACCTACCCACCTGTGAGGCTGTCCTGGAGCTCCCAGCTGGGAGGCACCAGGACAGGGCTGTCACTGTGCCAGTGTCACAGGTGGGGCAGCTATGGGGACTTTTGCTTCCTGTCTGTACCTTGGGTTGGTCACCCCTCTCCTGTCTTCTTCCCTGACAGTGGACTCTGATGCTGTGTGGCTGCTCCAAGGCTGGCTTTTCCAGCACCAGCCTGAGTTCTGGGGCCCGGCCCAGGTGGCGGCAGTGCTGGGGGCTGTTCCGCAGGGCCGCCTGCTGGTTCTGGACCTGTTCGCCGAGAACCAGCCTATCTACACCCGCACAGCCTCCTTTCGAGGGCAGCCCTTCATCTGGTGTATGCTGCACAACTTTGGTGGCAACCATGGCCTCTTTGGAGCCCTGGAGATGGTGAACCAGGGCCCCTCGGCTGCCCGCCTCTTCCCCAACTCCACCATGGTGGGCACAGGCATCGCGCCGGAGGGCATCGGCCAGAATGAGGTGGTCTACGCACTCATGGCAGAGCTGGGCTGGCGGAAGGACCCCGTGCCCGATCTGTCAGCCTGGGTGAGCCGCTTCGCAGAGCGGCGGTACGGGGCGGCCCAGCCAGAGGCCAGCATGGCCTGGAGACTGCTGCTGCGCAGTGTCTACAACTGTACTGGTGAGGCCTGCCGTGGCCACAACCGCAGCCCGCTGGTCCGGCGGCCATCCCTGCAGATGAACCCCACTGTCTGGTACAACCGATCCGATGTATTTGAGGCCTGGCGTCTGCTGCTCAAAGCCTCACCCAACCTGACCGCCAGCTCGGCCTTCCGCTATGACCTACTGGATGTCACCCGGCAGGCGCTGCAGGAGCTGGTCAGCTTGTACTACGAGGAGGTGCGGGCGGCCTACCTACACCAGGAGCTGGTTGGTCTGCTGAGGGCTGGGGGTGTCCTGGCCTACAAGCTCTTGCCCATGCTGGACGAGGTGCTGGCCAGTGACCAGCACTTCCTGCTGGGCAGCTGGCTGGAGCAGGCCCGGGCAGTGGCCACAAGTGAGGCTGAGGCTGATCTGTATGAGCGGAACGGACGCTACCAGCTGACCTTGTGGGGGCCGGAAGGCAACATCCTGGACTATGCCAACAAGCAGCTGGCAGGGCTGGTGGCCCACTACTACACACCCCGCTGGCAGCTCTTCGTTGAGTCACTGGCTGACAGCCTGGCCAGGGGTGTCCCTTTCCAGCAGCACCAGTTCGAGAGGGACATCTTCCAGCTGGAACAGGCCTTTGTCCTGAGCAGCCGGAAGTACCAAAGCCATCCCCAAGGCGACACCGTGGACCTGGCCAGGAAGGTCTTCCTCAGGTTCGGCCCCCGGAGGGTGGCTGGCAGCAGCTGACAATGACACCACAGGGCCATGTTTCCCTGGACTCCACACAGAGCTGGACCAGCATCTCGGGGAGCTCAGGCCTGGGGGAAGGGACCAAGGTCTGGCTCTGCAGGCCAGGTGGCTAGGGGGTGGGGAATGAGCCACTCTCCACCGCCACAAAGAATAAAGAATAGAGTAGTTTCCTGTCACCTTCATATACTACTGAGTCCGCCTGGCCGGTCTGAAGGAGCGCACTAAATGGCCACCGTGCGGTCCCTTGGGATGGGGGGGTTCCCTGTTTGTGCCTGTTTCCCACATTTTTCATACTAACACTTGGCATTTGCACAGAGAATGGCCTTTCTCAGCACAGCAGAAAAGTCTGGTAGCCATAATTATGGTTCAGGATAGAGATGCCCAGGCGCTGGGTGCTCAGTGCCCCCGCCGGGCACCCCACTGCCCGTGCAAGGTCCCCCATACCCAGGACAGCTTGGGGTTACGGTCATGGAGCTTCTCGACTTTGACCCAGAGCAGGGTGGGCAGCTCTGACCAAGGCCCAGAGGAGGTTTGGCCTTGAGCTTTCAGGAGACACAACAAGGGGTGGGGGTGCTGCGGGGCGGGAGCACCAGGGGATATTAGGAGCCAGGGCCCGCTGAGCCGGGCCACACCATGGATCCTGCGGAGCGCACCGTGGTGCTCATCACGGGCTGCTCCTCGGGCATCGGCCTGCACCTGGCCGTCCGCCTGGCCTCGGACCCGTCCGGGAGCTTCAAAGGTATAGGATGGGGGTCTCCTGGGAGGGCAGGACAGGCCCGGGGCCTCGGAGGGCGCCCCAGATGCAGAGTGGCCGCCACACGGGCCCCAGGGCATCTGATGGCGCCCCGACCACAGTGTACGCTACCATGCGGGACCTGGCAGCGCAGGGCGCGCTGTGGGAGGCGGCCTGGGCCCGGCGCTGCCCGCCAGCGTCCTTGGAAACGCTGGAGCTGGATGTGAGGGACTCGGACTCGGTGGCCGCTGCCCGGGCACGCGTGACCGAGGGCCGCGTGGACGTGCTGGGTGAGCCTCCCGGATCCTACGTGCAGACCCTCCTGTTCGGGACCCGCAGGGGACAGCAGGGCAGGCTGGAAGGCGCGGGCGCCAGACGTGTGGTCTGCTCTCCCGCAGTGTGCAACGCGGGCCGCGGGCTGCTCGGGCCGCTGGAGGCGCACGGGCTGGGCGCCGTGGGCTCTGTGCTGGATGTGAACGTGGTGGGAACCGTGCGGACGGTCCAGGCCTTCCTGCCGGACATGAAGCGGCGCGGCTCGGGACGTGTGCTGGTGACTGGGAGCGTGGGCGGCCTGATGGGTAGGCGGAGCGCGAGCCGGGGCGGGCTCTGCATAGGCCACGCCTCTCTGGGGCGGTCCACAGGGGCGGGTGGAGAGGAGTGGTGGATGAGGGCGGAGACGTAGGCAGGCCACGCCCAACGGGGGGCCAGGTAGCCCGAAAGGGGCTCATTGGGGCGTGGCCTACTGTGGCCACACCCGAGTACGCCTCGGTGAAGCAGAGGAGGGCGGGACTTGCTAGCGCCACGCCCAGTCTGGGGACTGGCTGCGCTGGGGGCGGGGCTTTGCGGGGGCGGGGCCGGCCTCAGCACCCGGGTCGCCTCCAGGACTGCCCTTCAACGCGGTCTACTGCGCCAGCAAGTTCGCGCTCGAGGGTCTGTGCGAGAGCCTGGCGGTCCTGCTGCTGCCCTTCGGGATCCAGTGAGTCAGTCCCGTCCAGCCCCGGGGAATCGACTCTCCACGGGTCCCGCGGGTCCCACAGGCTCTCGGGCCCCCGCCGTCCGCCCGTCCGCCCGTCACCTTCCACAGCCCGGTCCCCTGTCGCCGCAGCGTGAGCCTCATCGAGTGCGGCCCGGTGCACACTGCCTTCTACGAGAAGCTGGAGGGCGGCCCGGGAGGGGCGCTGGGCTGCGCTGACGCCCGCACACGCCAGCTCTTCTCTCTCTACCAGCGTCACTACGAGCGGGTGGCGCGCGACGCGCAGGACCCCGAGGAGGTGGCGGAGGTGGGCGTGGCTCGGGGCGTGGCAGGGGCCGGGCCGTGGGCGTGGTCTGGGCGCAGGCCCCGCCCTCCTTATCCCGCCCCGACCCGCCCCTAGGTCTTCGTGGCCGCGCTGCGCTCGCCGCAGCCTGCTCTGCGCTACTTCTGCACCGAGCGCTTTCTGCCCCTCGTGCGCCTGCGCCTCGACGACCCGAGCGGCCGCAGCTACGTGGCCGCCATGCATCGCACGGTGTTCGCCGCTGACCCAGGAGCCGCGGAGTCTGGGGCCTCCGAGCCAGGCGCTGCCCCGGGGGAAGGCTGTCCGCACCTCTGATCTGTCTCCACACCGACCCGGTTCCCAGGCTGCAGCGCGGCCTTAGATAATAAAGCCGCGGATACCGGTCATCGTTGCAGTCCTGTGTGTGCTTACTGGGACCCTCCCCTGCCGGCCATGGCTGTAGCGGAGGAACGGGTGCAGCGCGCCCGGTGGAGGCTGAGGCAGGAGGATCGCCATGCCAGAGCTCTGGCTGGGCTCCCCTGGGAGGCCTTGTCTCAAAGTAAAACTTTACAAAAGGAATGAGAATGTAGCTCAGTGGTGCAGCGCCTGGATTTCAGCCATTACCGAACAGAAGGGGGACAGTATGATCGAAATATGCGGTGACTGTTTAAATTAAAACATCAAACATAAAGAGCCACATTGCCATGAATCCATCCAGAATTCTCTCCCTGGCCTGTGCACGTGTCCCTTTCTGAAGCAATTCTAGAATAGTCATTTCAAGGATGCCTTTATAAGTTGTGATCAAAAATACTGCGCCCTGCTGCCGAGTGCCACCCAGTAGAAAGGCAGATCTCGAAAACAGGACCGTGTCCTCGACGACCTTGCTCACCAAAGCACAGTCTTTGGGTTCATCCCAAAGTCGAAACAACTGCCGCTGCAGAGACGCTAAAGATGGGCGGGAAAGGGGAGTGTGGACCTGCTGCCCAGGGTGGCTGGCTGGTGCTGCGAGGGTGTCGGCCGCGAGGGTGGCTGTTGAGGGGTGTTCGTAGCACTGGGTTTTCTACTGTAAGGCTTTTGTTGTTGTTGTTTTTTCTTTTGCGGAACCGGGGATTGAACTCAGGCTCTTGCGCTTGCCAGGGAAGCGCTTATTCCACTGAGCCATCTCCCCGGCCCCTACTGTAAGGCTTTAAAAAAATTTTTTTTTGGTTGTTACAGGGTTTCATTATGCAACTCGGACTCGTAGCGATCCTTCTGTTTTCAGCCTCTCCAGGGCTGGGATTACAGGCGTATGCCACTATGCCCAGGAGTCCGTGGCTGGCTCAGCCCACCTCGGGGGCAGGGCTGGCGGGAGATCCAACCGGTTGCCTAAGCAGGTGCTTTAGTCCGCAACTCGCCAGTCACTGTAATATGTTTTTTAAAACATAAGCATTAGGGACCAGGGAGATAGCTCAGTGGAATAAGCACTTGCCTGGCAAGCGCAAGGTCCTGAGTTCGATCCCTGGTACCGAGAAAAAAAAACAACCATAAGCATTCACCACTAAGTGTGGTGGCACACTCCTCCCATCACAGCGCTCAGGAGGACCGCCAGGAGTTGGAGGCTAGCCTGGGATTCGTGGTGAGGCCTTATCAAGAAAGAAAGAGAAGGGGCGAGGGAGGGAGGGAGGGAGGGAGGGAGGGAGGGAGGGACAGAGAGAACCAAACAATGTAACCAGTCACCATATTGTCCAACCACACCTAATAAATAAGAAGGAGCAGCTCTCCCAGAATACTGGGCTGAGGTGGCCACGGTCTGTCCTCCTTCCCAGCCTGCAGGGACACAGCGCCAGGGACCTGGAGGGAGCGAAAGGAGGGGACAGCAGGACTTGGGCTGGCAAAGCGAGGAGCCTGAGGCGCCTGGGCTTGGTGAGGGCAGCACATGCCAGCCTCCAGCAGTCCCTGTGCGCCGGGAGCAGGCAGCGCTCACAAGGCCTCGGGGGCACCAGGCACCCCCTCTGCCACACACTCTACTCTTCCTAGTCTCACACTGTTGCATGACTTCATTATTTATTTATTTATTTATTTATTATTTGGCGGAACCGGGGATTGAGCTCAGGCCCTTGCGCTTGCCAGGGAAGCGCTCTGAGCCGTCTCCCCGGGCCACCATTTCTTTCTTGAGGCAGGGTCTTCCTATGTAGCCCAGGCTGGCCTTGAGCTGACAGTGATCCTCCTGCCTCAGTCTCCCAAGTGCTGGGATGACAGGTAAGTACTGCCGTGCCCACTTCTACGCTCATGGCCCCCAGGCTCGTATCGGCTCCTGCCCATTCAGCAGTGATGCTTGCAGTCCCCCATTCCTAGCAGGGCATGGTAGTGCCCGCCTGCAGTCAGGCACTCAGGAGGCCGAGGCAGGAGGATACAAGTTGGAGGTCAGTCTGAGCTCCACAAGAGACATTGTCAACAAAACCAGACATCTAATTCCTAACGGGAGTGCCTGCCCCTCCTTGGGTCTTCCCCATTTCTCCAGATTTCTCCCTTTTCCAAAGCCCTAGGGCTGGGGAGATAGCTCAGTAGAATAAGCACTTCCCTGGCAAGCACAGGGTCCTGAGTTCAATCCCCAGTACTGCCAGAAAAAAAAAAAAAAACAACAAACACCTTGCAATATGACTCCTGCCTCTTTTCCCCTAATCCACTGCCACAGCCCTGCCTTCCAGCTCCACAGCATCTGGGCCATCGCTGCCCTGGGCCACCTCCCCTTGCCTTCTTGTCCCCACCCTGTCCACCAACAGCAGAATCTACACAGTGGAGTCAACACTGCACTTCAAGAAATGAAATGGCATGGTGGTGCGCTCCTAGAACCCCAGCTCTTGGCAGGCTGAGGCAAGAGGATCGCTGCAAATTTGAGGCCAGTGTGGCCTCTGTCTCACACACAAAAGCCTGGTCACATCTCTGCTTTAATCTCCTCCTGCAGTGTCCCACTTGGTGGTACCCAAGGAGTCCTAAGGAGCCCCAGCCCTCTGCTCGCTGGCTCCACCCCCCTCCACCGTCTCCACAAGGAAGCTCTTCCCCTGCACAGGCGGGCAGGCGCCTCTGCGGGCCTCTGAGCCGGCTGGGCTCCACTGGTTCACCGTTCCTGGTGTGGGTCCATCTCCTTCCTCAGGTCTTTCCTGTTGCCCTGGGCCCCCAGCCTGCCTGCCCCGCAAGATGGTTTCTTGCTCTGCTGGATATTTTTCTTTCATTTTTTTTTTATTTTGGATTTTTCATGATAGCCTTGTTTTTGGTTTTTGTTTTCGTTTTTAGACAAGGTCTCAGTGTGCGGCTCAGGACAGCCCTGAATTCGCTACATAGCCCAGGCTGACCTCAAACTCCAGATTCCATCTGCTGTGCAAACAAGGCCGTGGCGCTGCCTTGGGGCGCTGCCCGCAGTCTCCGACGAGCTGTTCTCCAATCAACTTTGCTTTCTCCTCTCCCTCCGTCTCCCCCCGAGCTACCTTCCCAGCCCTTTTAAAACTGTCATTTTGAGCAGGTATTTATTCATTTATTTATTTTTACAGTACCGGGGATTGAACTCAGGATCCTGCGCTTGCCAGGCAAGCACTTATTCTACTGAGCCATCTCCCCAGCCCTAAAACCGTCATTTTGAGAGTGTTGCACTAAAACATGAAGCTGCCCAGGCTGGGCTGGAACCTGGGTCCCCCCGCCTCAGCCCCCAGGCCGGCCGGCTCAAGCCTCTGTAAATTCCAATTGAGGGAGTCTCCTGCAAGAAGCCCGACCCCTTCACCTTTAGTTGTGGCTCCAAAGGCAGGTCTGCGGGCTCGCGCCCTTTGGGGGCCTCTGCAGGAGCACTCGAGCCAAGTCCGTGCAGGGCGCCTGTAATCCCAGCTGCTCAGAAGGCTGGGGCAGGATTGCCTGTTCAAGTTAGCAAGACTGTCAAAATTTAAAAGCAGGGCAGTGGGTGTTGCTCAGCAGCCCCTGGGATCAGTTCCCATCACCACAAAACAAAATCAAGCCGGGAGTGGTGGCTGATGTGTTCTGGCCCTGCTATGAATCGCTGAATCTCTATGGTGGTCATCTAACACGGCTGAAGCCCTTAAAACCACAGTTTATCTTCCAGAGACCGCCTCCCCGCTGCTTCTCCAACTCAGCCCAGGGTGCAATTTTCTTTCACCTTTCCCTTCACCTCAGGGAAGAGGCCATCAGCTCCTCAGGTATTTCTTTTTCTTTTTTTTTTTTTTTAATTTTATTTATGTGGGGGGGGCAGCTCAGCCCACCAGGGGGCGGGGCTGGCTGACATGTGGTGCTGGGGATTGAACCGCAGTCCCCGTGCTTTGATGAGCTTGTTCTAAGTAGGTGCTTTAGACCACTGCGGCATCTCACCAGCCCCTTTTCTTTTTTTTTTTTTTTTTTTTTTTTTGCAGAGCCCGGGATTGAACTCAGGCCTTGCTTGCCCGGGAGCTCCTCAGGTATTTCTAAACACGCCCCTCAAACTCCGCCACAGGCAAAAAGGCCATGAAAGCCTCAGCCTCCCTTTGTTCCAGTTCAGAGAATCTCTTATCGTCCCCAGATTCTTTGTGTCCTCAGAGATAACAGCGCCCCTTCCCCTCCTTCCCTCTGCCTGTCCGCTGCTGCACAGCCTTCGGAGAAACCCATCAGCGGCACGCCCCTGCAAGGCCAGGACTCGGGAGGCTGAGGCAGGAGGGTCACTGAGTCGAGGCCAGCCCGGGCTACAAGCGTCTCGAAAAGAGAAAACAGGAAGCCAGGGCGTGTGGCGGGGACTGTGGACTGAAGAGGCTGCGGGGGTCCCTCGGGGGGCGCAGAAGCCAGCCTCGGGCTCAAGCCCAGCACCAAAGCCGTGCGAAGGTGGGCGTCGTTTCGTTTCGGGGACGCCAAACTGCTGCCCATTACTGGGCCCTTGAGGGCCCGCTGCTCTCCTGCGGTGGCCGCCCAAAACCAGTGGTCTGAGATGTGTTCTTGTTCGCTTGCTGTCGTTTCCCGCCAGCAGAAGTGAACTCGGGGGGGGGGGGGGGGCCTGGCCCTAGCTCAGTCCTTTAAGTGGCTGCTTCCACAATGCTGGCAGCCTCAGGTTGCTGTAGTTCGATCCCCACAACACCCCAGCCAGCCAAACCACCCCTGAGGGCATTCCGAGCAAAAAAAAAAAAAAAAAAAAAAAAAAAATCCTTATGGGGCTGGAGAGATGGCTCAGTGGTCTAAAGCACCTACTTAGAACAAGCTTGGCAAAGCACAGGGACCGCGGTTCGATCCCCCAGCACCACATGCCAGCCAGCCCCGCCCCCTGGTGGGCTGAGCTGGCCACACACACACACACACACACACACACACATAAATAAATAAATAAAATTTTTTTTAAAAAGAAGTGAACTCGGGCCTCGCACACGCTGGCAAACGCCACCATGAGCTACCTCCCGGCCCTTTTCAGTTTTTGTTTAAAACGTCGGACAGGGTCTCGCCACGCTGCCCAGACCTCGACCTCCTGCCCTCCTGCCCTCCTGCCTCAGCCTCCCGGGCAGCGGGGACCGCCAGCGTGCGCCCCAACGTCCGCCCGAAATGCTTCCCGAGGGCGGCCTGGCTCCGCCGCCCCACCGCGCGCGACCCCGCGACCCCAGCCAGGCCTCGCGTTTCCACCGAGCGGCCCCCATGATGTCCTCGGGCCGCGAGAACGCCGGGGGCGGGGGTGCTCGGGAACCAGCGCGCCCCATGCCCCGCACCCCGAAAGCCTCTGGAGACGCAGGCTGGCCCCAGCGCCCCTCTGCAGAAAGGAAGCTTCGGCAGGTCACCGCCCCGCCGCCCACCTCCCTGGGTCTGGACGGAACGAGGACCCCGGCCTCCTTTGTCACTCTCGGGGCCGTCGCGCTCCGCCCCTCCCCAGGCACGTCTCGCGAGAGTTCCTCCGCGAACTGCGGTTAAAAGGTCTGGCCCCTCTCTCTTTCCGTAGTGCGGAGTTGTGGCCCCAAGGATCGTGGTCCCGGCCCCCTTGGTGCAGCTGCGCGGGCTGTCGGCGGAGCCCAGCTCGGAGGGCTCGGTGAGTCGCGGCCCTTCGAGTCGGGAGCCCCCTCCCGCCCCTCCTGCAGCCCTTGGCGCCCGGGTGCAGCTGGGTCGGGTGCCCTCCCGGGAGCCAGGCTCGCCGCTCACTGCCGCCTGTGCCCCGGCCGCCCGCAGGCGCCGCACCATGGCCGCCTTCCGCTCGGGCCTGCTGGTGCTGACGGCGCCGCTGCCCGCGCTGGCCCCGCGCCTGGCGCCGCTGCTGAGCTCGGCCGCGCGCCTGGTGAACCGCACGCTCTACGTGCATCTGCAGCCCGGCCTGAGCCTGGCGGGCCCCGCGCAGCCGCAGCCCGGCCCGGTGCCCGCCACCTTCGAGGTCCTCGACGTCCTCTCGCTGCTCTACGCGGGCGCCGATCGCCACCGCGGCCTGGATGTGCGGGTGCTGCTGACCAACGTGCAGGCCAAGAGCGCCCTGCCGCCCGCGCCCGCCCCTTCGGTGCAGAACCTGGCGCACCCGCCGGAGGTGGTGCTCACAGACTTCCAGACCCGCGACGGGAGCCAGTACAACCCGGTGAAGCAGCAGCTGGAGCGCTACGCCACCAGCTGCTACAGCTGTTGCCCGCAGCTGTCGTCCGTGCTGCTGTGTCCGGACGATGGGACCGGAGAGCTGCCCGTGGAGCCCCTGGATGTCCCCTTGCCCTCCACCATCAGGCCTGCGTCCCCCGTGGCCAGGTCCCCAAAGCAGCCCGTGCGAGGCTACCTCCGCGGTGCTGTGGGCGGCACCTTCGACCGACTGCACAACGCCCACAAGATGCTGCTCAGTGTGGCCTGTGCCCTGGCCCAGGAGCTGCTTGTGGTGGGAGTGGCAGACAAGGACCTCTTGAAGAGTGAGTGAGAGAGGCTCCTCCACGTCCTTGCAGGGTCGAGGAGGTGGGCCACTACCCTCTTTGCTAGCTGTCCCTGTGGCTGACAGTGGCCACCACCCACAACACTTTAGTTGAGGAGCACACGCAGCTCTCTGTGCCTGGGCGATCGAGAGCCCCAGGAGTCTGGACTTTAACCCCATGCAGGTCACCAGCTCTTGAGACACTTAGGTCCATGAACCTGTGAGTTAAAGGAACAGCACCCAGAGAGGGGACTGAAGGACACTGTGCATTCTGATGTGCCAGCTAACGCACGACCCATCCTGACAGGTCTCTGATGTGACTGTGCGGTGTCTTGATCTGTGGACACAGGCCAGCCTTGCGGTGACCACAGTGCTTGACCATTTCCCTTGTCCCCACCCAAATGTTCCTGTCATTTTCTTCCTTTTGGCCTGAATCACAAGCAGCCTCTGTGTGGCTACCTCTGTGGGCAGCTCCCTCAATCACCCACACAAGGCCCACCAGGCACTGTTCACAGTCTCATGTCATTGCTCCTTAGGGGACATTAGTGTGCAGGGCGGACCCTTGCTTCCCAGTAAAAAGACCTCGCTCTGCTTCTGCACCCCTCCCCAGGCAAGGTGCTCCCTGAGCTGCTCCAGCCCTACGCACACCGAGTGGAACACCTGAGTGAGTTCCTGGTGGACATCAAGCCCTCCTTGACTTTTGATATCGTCCCCCTGCTGGACCCCTATGGGCCCGCGGGCTCTGACCCCTTGCTGCAGTTCCTGGTGGTCAGCGAGGAGACCTATCGTGGGGGGATGGCCGTCAACCGCTTCCGCCTGGAGCATGTAACCCCTGTGGGAGATGGGAGAGGGAGTGGGAGGGCAGAGGGCAGTGAGGGTGCAGGGTGGCGGGAAGAGGCTAGGAGGACTGGATCCCAGCTTCTCTGCTGAGTTGGAGGAGCCTCTGGGTTTATCCTCCTCTCCTCCCACCCTTCCCCCTTGCCCATAGGGCTTGGAGGAGCTGGCCTTGTACCAGATTCAGCTGCTGAAGGACCAAAGTCACCAGGAAAATGAAGAAGACAAAGTCAGCTCCTCTAGCTTGCGTCAGCGAACGTTGGGTACCCTGCTCCGGCCCCCGAATGTAAGCCTCTTTGCCCCCCTTCCTCCAGCTCATGCCTGGCTTGCCAGGAATTCTGGGAAAGAGCCAGTATTTCAGCCCCAAGCATGAGCCCAGGTCCCCGCCATCTACCTGCAGAAGAGGCCGGAGCTCCCAGCCTGTCTCTACGTGCTTGGCCTGACGGGCATCAGTGGCTCTGGGAAGAGCTCTATAGCTCGGCGGCTGAAGAACCTGGGAGCCTTTGTCATCGACAGTGACCAGCTGGGCCATCGGGCCTACGCCCCGGGTGGCCCTGCCTACCAGCCAGTGGTGGAGGCCTTTGGAACAGGTATGGAGCAGGGAGGCCTGCGGGTGTCTGAGGCCGCGATGCAGCTTTGCCTCAGCTCAGTTCCCCCCTGTGTCGGCCAGACGTTCTCCATAAGGACGGGCTCATCAACAGGAAGGTCCTGGGCAGCAGGGTATTTGGGAACAAGGTGAGTAGAGTACACTGTGTCCCCCGTTCCTGCCCCTTGGCAGGCTTGGGGGCTCAGGGACATAACCTCTACCCACTCCGTCCCTCACAGAAGCAGCTAAAGGTCCTCACAGACATCATGTGGCCAGTGATTGCCACACTGGCACGGGAGGAGATGGACCTGGCTGTGGCCCAGGGTGAGCAGTGGGGCCTCCTGCCTCCCCTGGGGCTGGGGTGGGGGCGCTGTGATGGTGACTGGGCCCCCCTGCAGGGAAGACGGTGTGTGTCATCGATGCTGCTGTGCTGCTGGAAGCTGGCTGGCAGGACATGGTACATGAGGTGTGGACTGTGGTCATCCCTGAGACTGAGGTACATGCACCTGCGCTGCCTTTGGGAGCGACACACCACTCTGATCTTGAGGTGGAGCTGGGACCCTCCTGACACCTGCCCATCTGTGCCCAGGCTGTGCGACGCATCGTGGAGAGGGACGGGCTGAGTGAAGCTGCTGCCCACAGCCGCCTGCAGAGCCAGATGAGCGGGCAGCAGCTGGTGGAGCAGAGCCATGTGGTACTGAGCACCCTGTGGGAGCCGCATGTCACCCAGCAGCAGGTCGGTGCCTGAGAGGTGGCTGCGTGAGGCAGGATGGTCCAGGCTGCCTGCCTGACCCTGTCCTTCCTTCCTCCAACATCTGGGCCACCTGCAGGTGGAACGGGCCTGGAATCTCCTGCAGCAGCGCCTCCCTGAGACTCTTCGTGCCCTCGACTGACCGTATGACTGACTGCTGGGGGCCTGCGGTGGCCCTCGGAGCCTATAGGAGCCTGTGTCGAGGAGGGAGCACCCAGGACTCGCGTCTTAGGCGGGGCCATGCTGGACACGGCCGGGCCGGGGAACACAGGCGGCACCCAGACACGCGGTGGGGGGCAGCCCCTGGGCTCCCGAGCGACAGAGGTGGTCTGCTGCCCGCTCCAGCGGGTCAGGGAGACCCGAGAGCTTGGTACAGAATTAAAGCTGGATGTGCACAGGTGCCGCCCACGGTGTCCACTTGAGCGCTCTCGCCGGTCCCACGCCCCATGAGTGCAGTGGCTTAAAGGCCGCCCGAAGTCCCCCTGGGCCCTCCCTGCTTCCACCCGCACTGTGGCCTGATCCCACAGGCTGTTTCTCTGGCGGTGGGGTGGACCCCGGGCCAGACCCGGCACGACTCGCGCTCCCGCGGGGCGGCTCCGTGCGCGCCCGCCCGCCCGCCACTCCCGATTGCGCATGAGCGGAGCTCTTGCCCCGCCTCCAGCTTGTCCTTGCTGATTGGCGGGCTCGGGTCACGCGGCTGCCTCGCCTCCTCCTCGCCGCCGTCCCGGCCGCACTTACTTCCGGTCCGGTGGGGTCGGTCCGCGATGACGGAGCCCGGCGCCTCTCCCGAGGACCCCTGGGTCAAGGCAAGCCCCGGCGCGCACGTCCGCGAGGGGAGGCGGGGCGGGGGCGGGTTCCCTTGCTGTCCGTGTGGCGGGGCTGCAGATAAGTCTGCTTTGCGCTGCCCGCGCCCAGGTGGGAGCTCTCGGGGCCCAGCACCCACCCGCCGGTTTCTGGGGCGCCGTGCGCGCGCGACCTGACGGTGCCCCCTTGCCCGTGCGCAGGTGGAGTGCGCCTACAGCGACACCAGCCTGGACCCTGGTGAGTGCCAGCCGCGCGCTGCGGGAACCGAGGCCGGAAATACTGGGCTGCGTGAGCCGGGGCGGTGACAGCTGGTCCCTTCCTCCTTGCCGGTGCCTCTTCGCGAGTGTTAGGGCTTGATTGCAGGCCAGGAAACAGAGTGGACGTTGGGGACGGGCACAGTGGGGCGTAGTGTGGTGGAAGTGGGGGGAAGCCGGCTCCCGGAGTGTCAGGGTGCGCAGGAACCCCGCCGGCCCCTTAGCTACCATGCCTCTCTTCTAGGGCTTTTTGCGGAAAGTGCCCGCAAGGGGAGCGTGGTGTCCAGGGCTAATAGCATCGGTTCCACCAGTGCCTCTTCTGTCCCCAACACAGGTAGGCTTTCCCCAGCTGCCGGGTCATGAGGGGCCATCGTTTTAGTGACCTTCCTAGAAAGGGAGTCTCCTACCTACCCATGGTGTCAGAGCCCAAAGCCAGGCCCAGCTCCATCTGTCCCGGGTGTCAGGTTCTGTGCCCTTCCATCCTGTTCATCTCCTTGCGAGCAGCAGGGACAAGAGGTTTCACGGTGACCTCACTCACCCCCTACTGCCTGTAGATGATGAAGACAGCGATTACCAGCAGGAGTCCTACAAGGAGTCCTACAAGGATCGGCGGCGGCGAGCACACACCCAGGCCGAGCAGAAGCGCAGGGATGCCATCAAGGTGACAGGCGGGCCCTGGCTGGAGTGCAGTCCCACTGGCTTCCGGGGCTGCTGCTATCCTGGGGCATGCTCAGCTCCTTCCTCAGTCCCCTCCTGAGGGCCTCACTGTGTCCGCAGAGGGGATATGATGACCTTCAGACCATCGTCCCCACCTGCCAACAGCAAGACTTCTCCATCGGCTCGCAGAAGCTCAGCAAGGCCATCGTCCTGCAGAAGAGTATGGTGGGGGCGGGGCGGGGCCCTGGGGTGCAGGGTGATGGTGGGGAGAGCTCCACCACAGGCTTTCTGGCCAACACCTCCGTGCCCGCCCAGCCATCGACTACATCCAGTTTCTGCACAAGGAGAAGAAGAAGCAGGAGGAGGAGGTGTCTACCCTGCGAAAGGACGTCACAGCCCTGAAGATCATGAAAGTGTAAGGGGGAGACTTGGGGAGCAGAGGTGTTCAGGGGACAGCCATCAGGTTGCACAGCTTCCCGTTCAAAGATCACATCAGATAAGGCTCAGGTGACACTCCCGCTCCGCAGTGTCAGGAAGTATGAGCACACACGCGGTCGCCTGTCCTGCTCTGGAGGCAGAGTGGGGGAGCCCTGGCACTACCTGCTGGCTGAGCCGAGCCTCGATGCTTTCAGGAACTACGAGCAGATTGTCAAGGCGCACCGTGACAACCCGCACGAGGGCAAGGACCAGGTCTCTGACCAGGTCAAGTTCAACGTGTTCCAGGGCATCATGGACTCCTTGTTCCAGTCCTTCAATGCGTCCATCTCTGTGGCCAGCTTCCAGGAGCTGTCAGCCTGCGTCTTCAGCTGGATTGAGGAGCACTGCAAGCCCCAGGTGTGGCCAGCTGCACCGCGGGCCCCAGAAGCTTCGAGGTGTAGTTGGGGGAGCCCCAGGCCCTCTTGAGCAGCTGTCCTGGGCTGTGCGCCAGATGCTGCAGCTTCAGTCTTTTTGGCTGATTTTTCTCAGGCGAGAACCTGGGAGGTTTTTTGTGTGTTTTGGTTGTTCTTGCAGCACGAGGGATGAAACCCAAGCGTGTTGCACTACGCTGCATCCTCAGTCCTTGTTTTAGGATTTTGATAAATTGCCTGAACTGGGCTTGAATTTATGATTCTCCTGCCTCAGCCTCCCAGAACACCAGCTACGGGTGTGCACACTGTGCACGCCTTCTCATCATTTTTGAGGGGTTTTTTTTGAGACTCCCTTGCAGTGTTCAGACTGGCCTGACTGCACCAGTCCTGCTCTAGCCTCCCCAGTGCAGGGATCTCAGGTGTGGGCCACCACACTCCGGCCACTTTCTGTCTTCTTGGCACCAGGAACTGGACTCCCTGTGCTTGCCAGGCAGGCACATGCTGGGCTGCTGAGCTAAATCTCCCAGCTCTCAGCCACTGTTAAGTTAAACACAGCATCACTGTGAGACTTCGAAGGCAACTACTGAGAGCCACTGCCTACATTCTGCTAGTGATGGTTTACTGTATTTCCATTTTTGCCTAAACTGTCAGCCTCTCCCGGGGCAGGGCCTTGTCTGAGGCAACCACGTGGCTGCCCTGCCTGAGTACTTCTCCCTCTGCCCCCAGACGCTGCGTGACATCGTGTTGGGGGTCCTGCACCAGCTGAAGAACCAGCTCTACTGATGGTGTGGGCGCTACAGAGCTCAGGGCTGCCTGGCACCACACACGGGGAGTGTGTTTCCTGAATGCTTCTGATTAATTTATTTTCCCATCATGCAGCCCGCCGGTGCTCTCCCAATAGGGCACCCCGCCTCCCCAGGCCTCATGTTCTAGTCAGGACCTGCAGGGGTTCACGAGCTCAGCTTGCTTGGGTCCCAGGGTGCTGGGGTGCTGGGGTCTGGTGTGGGTCCTTGGCAGTGGCTGGGAGAGGACACAGCTACACTGGGAAGGGAGCAGGTGCAGGCGCGTCCTCCCCATTCTGCCCACCCCACCCCCAAACAGGCGGGACACAGTGAGTGCACATTGGAAACCTTATTTTTTTTAACGCCAACAGTGCAATTTTACTAGTTACAACTCTGGAAAAGCAACAGGCTTCCAAACCCCTCCCCACCTTCCTCCCGTCTCCTGCAGAACGCCTGCTGGGGCCTCTGCACGTCCAGGGCCGCCTGTCTGCCAGGTGCCTCACTGCCCGGGGCCAGCACTGTGGGGACTCTGACTACCACAAGAAAGTCAGTATTTTTGTATGAAATGAAAATAAACACCATCACATACACTCCTGGAGCCCTGTTTGTTCCAAGCATGCCAGTGACGCTCACGCAAACCACTGCAGCGGCAAGGGACGGAAGAGCCTAGGTGGCCAGCTGCCCCTCAGGGGTCTGGTGGTGCCACGTTGTGGTCCTCATCCGTCTCAATGCCGACTTCTTCCTGTGGGCAGGTGGCTGTGAGGGTGCCGAGCCCTCCCAGGACCCTGGGGCTGCGGGAGAGGGGGCACTTACGAAGAACTGCTTCCTGCTCTTGGGGTAGCCTTCAAGTATCGCGTCACACAGCTCAGCGGCCTGGCAGGAGACAGAGCCCCGCTTTAGCCGGCCGCGTGGCCGAGCAGCCCTCCGCGTCCCTGCTGCTCACCATCCTCTTGCGCGTCCGCCACTCCCTGCAGAGCCGCCGTCGCTCTCTGTGCACCTGCCAGGGAGCACAAGGCTCAGCTCAGGCTTGGTCTGGCCGGCCTGGCCCCCAGCCCGGCCCCCACGCACCTGCTCCTTCTCCTCTGGCGTCACACACACGGGGGCGCCCTTGATGCCCTGCAGCCTCTCCTGGAAGCCAGCGCACTCGGCCTTCAGCTGCGCGATTTCTCGCTGCATCTCTGGAGTGGTCAGGGCACTCGTCAGCTCCTTAAGCTCTGAAACATCGGCCAGGTCACCCCAGCCCAACACAGCCCAAGGAGGGTAGGAGACCACAGCCAGCGAGGACACAGCTTCGCAAGGGCTCAGGGCGAGGCGGCATGCGAAGCTGGTGCTTTGGCCTATTTTTTCCAGTGCCTCCACATTTATGAGTGGTGTGATGGCCTGGGGAGCTGGCAATCCCACAGGGACAGAGGACAAGTTGGGACGGAGTGTCCTGACTGAGGCAGGGAGGGCGTATGCATGTGGCCTGCTGGTACACAGATGCTGCCGGCTCTCCATCCCTTCTCCCGGCACCATCTGGGAAGGAGCCAGAGCCTTCACTCAGCCCTGGACCCTTTTCATTTTCTTTGTCTTGAAACGGGGTCTTGCTAAGTTGCCCGGGCTGGGCTCCAGCTTGCACCTATGATCTCCTGCCTCAGCTTCCGAGTGCTGGGATGACACACCTGCATCACACCCTGTTCTCTGTTTAAAGTCTCAAGTAGCAGGTGGGAACCCGGCCCCACGGGGGCCTCAGGGTGCCGACCTACCGGCCTCCATGTGGCGGCAGCTCTGCTGCAGGCCCTGCACCTTCGCGGAGAGGGCCACAATCTCAGTGTCCAGGCTCTGGAGGTCGGCATCACTCACGGTGTCAAACTGGTCCTGCCAAGAACAGGAAAAGCTGAGGGGTGATGAGTGGTACAGCTGGGAGACTTGAACATCAACCAAAAGGTGTCTCAGAGAAGCCATTCCCTGCTTCCAAAAGGAAGGGAGGACAGCAGGTGCAGTGGTACACTCCTGTTGCCCCTGCTGCTCTGGAGGCTGAGGCAGGCGGGCTACAAGTGTGAACCCAGCCTGGGCAACTTTCAAGATGGGCTGGGGTGTGGCGCAGCAGTACAGCACCAGCCTGGCGTACACAGGCCCCGAGTTCCACCTAGAAGCGGGAAGCTGCTCCTGCCCTCAGAGCTTCCAGGTCGGCAGGACGCTAGGCAGAATGGAAGCAGCTCTCCACTTGCTGATAAAAGCAGCCAGCTCCACTGTAGGAGCTCTTGGCCAGGACAGGGAAGCTCAGACCTTAGGTTTCAGGAAGGGTGACAGGTGGGGGGAATGGGCTCGGGCAGGACCGTGGGGATGTGGTGCCTGGCAGTTGGTGTTGAGGCAAGCAGAGGGACAGCATGGCCTGGGTGTCCAGGCTGTACATGAGCACTTGGGTTTAGAGCTGGGTCCAAGAGCCCAGCCTGCAGGGAAGAGGGAATCTTCCCAACAAGGGCCCATGGCCTCTGAAGCCAGCAATGTGGTGAGGCTCCTTACAGTTTGCCAGCATCCTGGAGCAGCATAATGAAGCTGTTACAGGAAGGGGAGGCCCAGGGATTCAGGTCAGCTAAAACGAGCACCTCGTGAGCACTGGGTGTGAGCAGTAGGGGGCTGAGTAAATGAAAAGGAGAAATGGCGCTTGCCCTAGGAAAGCACCAGTTTAGTGAGACACACAAGCAAAGAGCAAAGGACACTCCAGCATGCCCAGGGACACGGCCGGCCTGCACTCCAAGGCCCCATTCTCAAAACTCACCCAGCGAGGCCCACCTGGGTGGGAAGAGCCTGGTGGTGGCAATGCACGCAAAGCCTCAGGGACACGTTCTGCAGGGGACAGCCCCAGAGAATGATCAGAGCTGGGCAGAGGCAGGAGGGGGCTGCACATCTGAGCTATCCCGCATTGGTGGCCAAAGCTGCCCTTGGGCGAGGTGCAGGCTGGCCGGCTGGATCTCCAGGGCCTTTCCCTTGTTTTGTGGGGGAGATGCCGCAGCAGCTCACAAAACGGCCTGAACTCCCAAGTCATGACAGGAGAGAAGATTCAAGAAGGGAAAAGGCCGGGCAAGGGTGACCCCTGTCGTCCCAGCACCTGGGAGCCTTGAGGCAGAAGAAGCACCCCGAGTTCCCGGCCTGCCTGGGCTACATAATGAGTTCAAGGACACTGTGAGCTGCATAGTGAGACCCTGCCTCAAGAGAAAGAAAACCGGCCAAGGATATAGCTCAGTGGCACTGCGCCGGCCTGGCAAGCGCAAGGTCCTAAATTGACTCCTAGAGCCAATTAAAAAAAAAAACCACCACGCTCAGCTGCGCTCGATGAGTACACACACACGGTTACTCCTTCCTGAGTGCGAGACGGGTGGAGGGGGGAGTCAGCGGGCGGGGGCGGGGGCTAAGGCAAGCGGGGGGCTAAGGCAAGCGGGGGGCTGAGGCCGGGGTCAGGCCGGCGAGGGGCATCTGCAGTGCGGTGCGGCGGGCTGCGGGGAAGGCGCCTCCGGCAGAGGGCGGTGCCGGCCCGGCTGCTGGGAAACAAGGGCCCAGGCCGAATGGTCCTGGTACCGCTCAGACCTGGTGTCCTCCACCGCGTTTCACGTCCGGAGAGCTTGTGAATCCGGGCCGTGGAAAGGGAGGACGCGGCTCGGGATGGGCTCGTGCCCGGGCGCCCCGGCCCTCGCCACTGCGTGTCGGGCTCTGCACGGGCGACGGTGGCGCGGTCCTCACCTGGTCGGCGAAGTAGACCTTCTGTTTGCCGTAGGTCTTCTCCCGGATCTTTCCCTGCTGGGCCAGCTGCTCCAGCGCCTTCACCACCGCCTGCCAGGGGAGGGCGAGACGGTCAGAGGCTACACCTGCCAGGGCCCGGGAGGACTGCGGATCGCGGGGCGCGAGCGCGGTGCTCACCGCCTTGCCCAGCCCATGTTCCCGCTGCAGGTTCCCGAACACGTCCTGGGCGCTGTAGGGCCTGTTCTGTTCCTGCAGGTACCTCAAGAGGATTGCGGGCGCTGCGGAAAGACGGGGTCGCTCGGCTGGCCTCCCCTCGGGTCCCCACCTCCCACCTGTTGGGGTCCCCGCCTGCCACCCGTTCGCGCGCCCTTTACCTCCCGCCGCAGCTTCCGCTCTTTTACTCATGGCGGTCGCCCACAGCCAAACCGAAAACCGGACGTAGTAGTTGCCCGGGACGACGGCTCCTTCCGCCAGCGGAGGGAGGGCCTCGAAAGGTGATTGGCCAAAGGGACGTCTGCCCGATGGTGATTGGCTGGCGCGGCATGCCCTCCGGGTTGCGGTAGTTCCGCTGGGTCCCTTTTGAGCCTTGGCGGACTAGGCCCGGGACGTTGGAGGCGCCGTAGACCCCGGCCCAGCCTCTCTTAGCACTTGCCACCTCAGTGCGGCCAGGGGCCGGCTCGAAGACCTGCAAGGCTGCCTGGAAGCGCGGCCGCGCTCGCGGCGCGCCAGACCCACCCGCGGAAACGCGGGCTGCCACCTGCCGCCCCCAGCCGCGCGCGCAGGGGGCGCTCGGCACCGCAGCAGCCGTTTCGGACCCGGCAAAGGTAGGGCCGGGGACAGGCGCGCAGACCGCCGAGAGGCAGTCAGTCCGCGGGCTCAGCAGCACCTGGCAGCCAGGTGCTTTCCACTCCTGACCACAGGGGCCAGGGCCAGACTGAAATAAGCACTCGTAAGTTTCTGAGGTCAGCAGAACAGCAGCTGTCCTTGCCGGCCCAGAGAATCCAGAGCATGGTGCCCTCCTCCAGCCCCGGGGAGTTTACATACATTCGCAGTGTAGCCCACCCTGGCCTCAAACTCGCAGTCCTCCCGTCTCAACCTCCCGAGTGGTGGAATTACACTCGTGCACCATTATCCCTGGAGAGCACTGTCCTTTTTAGTCTGCTAAAACCTCACCGACCTTTGTCTTAAACGTGTTTGTCAGCCTGGGGAGATAGCTCAGCGGTCTAAGCGCCTGCCTGGCAAGCACAAGGACCCAGGTTTGATCCCCAATACCGCATGCAATGCCGGCCTCGGGCTGCATAGCAAGACCCTGCTTGTCCCTGAGGGGACAATGGTGATAATTAGAAATGAGAACTGCAGCTAAGCAGCACCTAGGACGGCTGGTCCCATCGGTACACAGGCAGCACAGGGATGGTGGCCGCCCGTGGGCAGCTGCTCATCACCTTCGCCAAAGAGGGCCTGGTGCAGCCCCAGGACTCAGCGGCCCGACCCGGGTGAGCAGAGCGCGCCTTGCAAGGAGGGACGCAGGTCAGCATCGCTTAAAAAGATTATTCTCGGAGATTTATTCCCCAGCACCACCAACCCTGCCCACCCAATTCACAGTGGAGGGAGGAGTGGGAGCAGGCTCCCTGGGGACAGAGACCGCCTCAGGGCTGTTCTCCCTCCCGCGGCCTCATGCAAAGGCAGACCCTACTCTCCCCTCCCACACTTCTTCCACGTCACAGCCCACCTGTAAGACACTCTGTGTCCCCAGTGCTGCTTAGTCTGTTGGAGGACTTATGGGGAACCTTCCCATGACCACGAACACAACCAACTGCCCACCAAAGGGGCCCCCCATCTGTCCACAAGAGCAAACAGGTCAGCACAGCCCACCCGCGGCGCAGAACTGGGCTCTATATCCAACGTCCCTCTTGGGGAAGTGGTCCCTGAGGATCGGCAAGGGTTGGGACAAGAGGAAAAGGGAAGTTTGGCTTGAGCTCTGCGGGGTGGGGCCAAGGCGAGGCTGGCATAGGTTTGGACCCAATGATCATCTAGGGGTTTTGTCACACGTGATTTGAGTAGAGGCCAAAGGCCAGGGCCCTCTGAGGCATCTTTCCTGATTAACAGTCCTGTGGGCGGGCTCATCGTGCAGTGGGGAGCTGACCAGGGTGAGAACAGCGATGGCCCTCTAAAGTGCTACTGTGCCTTCCCCGGGAGCCGCTGGGGACCGGGACACAGGGATAGACATGGTATTGCTTGGCTCACTGTGCAGCCCAAGGGTGGGATGAGCCTGGGTCAGCAGCACCAGAGACAACACAGAGCTCAGAAGGGTCAGGGGCGCCCAGACGGCAAGGCAGCCTTGTACCTGCCAGCTGACTCCCAAGACACCCATCTTCACCTCTAGGTCAAACAAGCAGGACCTTGGGGACCCTGGGGTGTGTCCTGGGGCTCCAAAGACAGGTGAGAAGATGTGTAGGCCTGCTCTGTGGAACCAAGGGGCAAGCTTAGCCTGAAAAGGCTGTACGATGGTCCTGTGAAGGACAGGACAACTCCTGCAGAAATCTGCCTGACTTGGAGACTCCGGGGCACAAGGGCGGGTAGGCCCTGAGCACCCCGGCTGCACAGCAGAGAGCATCAGCTCCACGCTGACCACAGTTCCCCAAGGACCACCCCAACAGAAAGCTTCCTGCGCAGCACACACCCCTGGTGGTGAAGCACGGGCGTGGGTCCACGGGCAGCCGAGCTGGCCTCCGCTTGTCAGCCAGGTGCCCGCAGGAAAGTGTAATTCAGGGATGAGGTCTGGGCTCTCCCCCTGCCCTGCCCATCAGTGGGTGGGGCCCTAAACACAGTGACCAGGGGAAGGCTGTGACTCAGTGGCTCCTGGAGCTGGCAGGGTCCAGCTGGCTCAGCTCCGACTGGTCCAGGAGTTCAAAGTCATCTCCCTCAGCATCTGTGTCCAGGTCTGAGCTGGGGGCCCGCAGGAAGCCTCGGGCTACTCTCCGGGATGAGGGGCCGGAAGGGCCTGGCTGTGAGGCCCCTGACAAGGCCATTTGGATCATCCCCTGGGAGACCAGGCTGGCAAGGTTGCTGGTGAGGTTGGACCCTGCAGGCAGGGCACTGAGCAAAAGCTCAGGCAGCGAAGTGTCATCCCGGCTGGCAGGGGGCACCTGGGGTGTCTCCAACCCTGGCGGGGGCCGCAACACCAGGCTGGGCATCCCGATGCTGGTGTCATCGTCGTCGTCCAGGCCAGCAGGGTCCACGTTGATGGATGGAAAGTCTGGAAGGTCTCTGGCAAAGGACTCCTCCGGGTCGCTGTGCCCATCCAGCTCTGGGGGGACACAGGCGCCTGAGCTGCAGCCCCTCCACCAGCCCACCCACGTTGCCCGGCCCGGCCCATCCTGCCATGCCCTGGGACTGGATTCTCCCCACTCCACCACCGGCAGCTGTGACCACACTCCCACCCCTCCTGTGTCTCCAAGCCCCACAGCTACCCCAGCCGCACCCCGCACGCACCTTCAGAGCCCTCCGTCAGGGGTGTCTGGCCTCTGGAGAGGTTGAAGGTGCCGTTGTCCGTGCAGGAGACCTCAGCGTCAGAGTGCTCTGAGTCCGTGATTGCCAGTTCCCTAGCCACAGTGGACTCGTCCAGCTGGGGACAGAAAAGCAATGCGTGCTGAGGAGCAGTGCCACCAGCCACCAGGAGCCTCCTCAGGCAGTGTCCACACTGAGGACAGGGGTCCCAGGAGTGCAGGTCTTCAATGGATGGGGGACTTGTGGGAGCAGGGTGCCGGTCACCTCGCGCAGTGTGATCTGGGAGGAGTCCCACTGTGACATCAGCTGCTCTCTGAGTCCCCATCATCGGGGACGAGGGGCAACTAGGATCTTGGCACTGCCCACGTGGGAGCGCCCCGTGGAAGGCAGGGAGTGGAGAAGCCATCAGGGCACTGGCACAGGCAATACCTGTGGACAGAAGGCGGCCAGCTCCTCCTCGCTGTCACTGCGGTCGTCCCCAGTGCGTTCCGGGTGCAGAGCTCTGCGGCGCACTGTGGAGAGACGAGGTGGCCATGACGCCTCTTCCCTTGGAGAGACCTCAGCAGCTGGCACGTGGCCCCCAGGACTCACCCCCATCCTCCCTCTCTCAATGCCCCCTGCAAGATCAAGGCTAAGGCCCAGCTGGGGCAGCCCAGTGTCTACAGAGTGGGCGAATCAGGGGTCAAGGGCTCAGCTGCCTGGTCCAGGAGAAGCCTGGCCCCAAGAGGCACAGCATACCCAAAGGGCGACCAGGAGGAGGGCAGAGGCCAGGCGGGCACTGACTTGGAGCTCAGTTGGCACACCCGGGGCTGCCCGCGTGCCCTCTGATAGAAGACACCACCACCGCCTGCTTCTCAGGACTGTGAGGGTGAAATAAGGTGGCATCTGCAGAGCCAGCCCAGTGCTTGCACATGTGGAAGGGCTTCGTCAGCCCCAGGTGCCACCGAGGACCAGGTTGATGTCTGCTTACTCAACTGTGGCAAGCGCTCCCCAGGTAGTGAAGTGGGAGCCTGCAGCCTGGGCCTGGCAGACCAGCCCTGAGGACACTTACACTGCCGCTCTCTCTGCCGGGACATCATGTAGCCTCGCACACTGAAGTCCAGCCGCTGCAGAGCCGGCTCTAGCCACACGTAGGCTCGGTCCCACAGGCGGTGGTACATGGTGAGGGGCCACGTGAGCACCGCGACAACTGAGGGCAGGAGAGAAGACATGACACATGGGGAAGGGGCAGCGCGAAGCTCCCTGCTCACCCTGCCTGCATCCACAGGGCTGGGGCCTTTGGCGGGGCTCCAGGGACCCCACGGGCCCCAGGTGCTGCACGTAGCTGGCAGTCTGCACAGAGCCCAGCAGTGTGGTCAGGCACACCTGTGCTGCCAGGCCACGTTATGTGTGTGGTTTTGATGAGGGGCAGCCACAGCTGGACTACCCAGTTCCTCTTGCCCCAACAGGAAGTCACTAAACTGACACACGTGTACTTGGGAAGGGCGAGCACTCCCCCAAAACAGGACCTAGAAGAGGAGCCCTCACAATTCTGTTCTGCAGATTCTCTGTAAATAGTGACAGCAGTTATGTGTTACTGGGTGCACCATGGGTACCAGCAGACCTCATCAATTTGGAAACCCAGCTTGGTGGCGTGGGCTGGGATACAATTGTTAGTGTGTGGGGCCTAGGGAATGTCCCCCAGCACCTCCCAACAAGTACGAAACAAACGGGCTGCAGGCACAGGGAGCCCTCTGCAGACGCAAGGACATTTCCACGGGGCTACCAGATCCCACGAGCAGGAGAAGCCATCTGTGGCAGAACCGAAGCCGAGCAGAGCTTGGCTCGCCACAGGGCTCCCTGCCGCTGGACAGCCAGGAGCACCACGCACGAAGCACACTCAGACTCACGGATCAAGTAGGACAACAGGAGCCCCGGGACGTAACGGCCCAGGACAGCCAGGAAAGTGAGGACCCCACAGCTCAGCAGGCAGAACTGGAAGGCAAGCAGCAGTATTAGGCCCGCATGGCCCAGCCCAGCAGGGTCCCAAAGGGTGGGTCCGAGTGACACACACGCCGCTCCTCCATCCATGCTCAAGAGGCGGTGTGGGGTCCTTTCCATGTAAGGTCCCTTTCCAGTGGCCGCCCCATGTGGCTATACCTTCATGCCAGGAAACTGGTATGAACAGGACTTAGCCAAAGGCACTTCGGAAGCAAGCTGGCGGTGGGGATTTTAAGGAAATACCACAGGCGATAAAATCCAACCACCTGTCATAGTTTAACATGACAGAATGCACACCAGCGAGCGGGCAAGAGGGCGGCTTTGACAGTGGGCGTGGCGCCGTGGCAGCTCCGCCCCACGCGCACCGCGCCGCGCCGAGCCGAGGCTGCCTGCAACCTCCGTCCCCACAGGTGGGCAGTCTTGCTTTCCTGAATGAGGGCGTGCGTCAAGGGTCTGTTTCGGTGTAGCATGCTGAACCAGGGGCCACAGATGACTGCGAGAAGGGAAACTCTTACCTTGCCTGGGTTTTGCTTTTTGAAAAGCAAAAGATTCCTTATGAAAATGGTCCCGCTAACCCAGGCTCCAGCTACGTGATGGCAGAGCTCGGGCACGCTGAGCAGCCGAGGGTGCACAAAGCCCCAGCTACGGAAGAGAGAAGGGGAGGCGTGAGCCGGTGCTGCGGGCGCCCCCGTCGCTGTGCAGACGCCACTGCGTCCGGGCGTAGACAGGGCAGGCACGCAGCTAGTCCCGGGTGCTCTGGAGGTGAAGCATGGCTTTCTCTCAGCTCACCAGGCTGAGACTTGAATTTAGGGATGGGGGCGGGCGTGTTCTGACAGCTCCAGCCGGTGAGCAAGCGCCCGATCTGCATGTGAAAACCTGCGCCTCGCTGAGCCGAGCCTTCCATGCGATTCGCAGCGATTGCAAGCCGATAAAAGGGAAGAGGCCTCTCGCTGAGGGGGGCAGGGCACTGTGGTGGCTGTGCACCTCAGAGAGAACGGGACAAAGCACAGCCACACGACCGGAGCACAGCCAACCGCACGCCAGCACGGGCAGGAGCAGTGGACACAAGAGGAATCTCTGGCATTGGCTTCTGAGGCCTGGAACCAACGCATTTTCTGACCAGGAGCTTTAAATAGCCAGAGGTCACAGAAAACACAAAGCAACCAGTATAAAAGCCAGGAGGCGACGGAAGTTAGTTGCCCCTGGATTTTTATGCAAGGGCCAAATAACGCAGCCCATTCCCAGGCATGTCAGGCTCTGAGCATGGCGCACTTCGTTTTGAGAAGCATCTTTAAAGACCAGAGGACAGCGGTCGTCTGCACACCCCACTGCCTTGTTCAAATGACTAGCATTTGTGCAAATGACTACTGAAGAGGACAGGTTCTCAGCTCACTGTGTGTCCAGAGCACGGGGCCAACAACATGGAACCAGAACATTGCAGGAAATCAGAGCAACAAAAGGGATTTAATGAGCGTTCCATACCTCTCATTGTCTAACGCGTCAGGTCTCGGCACTACAACATTAAAACAAACACCAGCATTAGAAGGTGGGAAAACTCAACATGGAAATGTTAGGCTGCTGGTCTGACAGCTTGCGTTTTAATAAGTTTGGGGAAAAGCAAACTGTAACAGCCAATAAAAGGAGACACCATGTTACACGCCAGAGTTAGGGGAGTGTCTGCACCCACTCTTTGGACCAGGCCTGGTTGCCAAGGGGCTGACAGAGCCTTTGAACCCCCTCAGCTGAAAACCACAGGGTGCATGAAAAATGGCAGCCCCCAGCCCGGGGCGCATCTGGGCCACGCTGAGCTGCGCTGGCTGAGGATCACGGGCGGCTCCCTCCCTGACCCAGCCCTGGGAAGGCTCTAAGCGACAAGCCCGTGGTGTGGCTGAGACCCGAGGACACCAGGACCTGGACACTGACACGCGCCCAGCTGTTGCCTGAAGCCTGCGGCCGGGTCCTCTGGCCTCCCACTTGGCCTCCCACGCCACCCCGAGAAATGTTACCAGACCCCTCCAGTAACCACCCGACCTACAGAAAAGCCTTGCTTTCAAATCTTACAAAAGCTGATCCACGGGACTTTGGGGTTTTCCTCCTAGCATCCCTTAATGAGCCCCGTTCTTTCCTCAACAGCACGTAACGGCTCAGAACGGGGCACAGCACGTGTCGCTCATCCTCACGCCCTGCACTACCCCATGAGCGCTGCACTCCCACCAGATGCTCTGAGCTGGGGCCCCTACACCTATCAAGCTGAGAAACCCCTTTCTCCCTGGGCCATTCCACCGCCCCTGGACTATGCCAGGGCCAAAATACACGACTGTATCAGCCCCGAGACCCACTGTGGCATCGCCGAGATTCTCCGGTAACTGTTGTATAACTTTTACTTGGATGTAATCTCTGATACATATATTTGGGCAATTTCCATAGTCATAATGCCTAGCCCAGTGCTTTGCAAATAAGCAATTTTTAAAATCTTTTTTTTTAAAAAAATCATTGGGGCTGGGGAGATGGCTCAATAGAATAAGCGCTTCCCTGGAAAGCGCAAGGGCGTGAGTTCAATCCCCAGTTCTGCCAAAAAAAAAAAAAAAAAAAAATCATTTACTGGGGCTGGCAAGATAGCTTAGCAGACTAAAGCACCTGCTTCGGCAAGCTTAAGCAAGCACAGGGACCGCAGTTAGATCTCGAGCACCACATGCCGCAACCAGCCCCACCCCAGGGCAGGCTGTGCAGGCCAGAGTCCAGGCACAGTGGCATATGCCTATAATCCCAGGCCCGGAGAGGCTGAAAACAGGAGGATCACTATGAGTCTGAGCTGCATAGCTCAGACCTGTACCAAATACCTTAAAGTAATAAATACATTTATTTATTTATTTATCTCACTAGTGAGACTCCCCAGTGCTGGGATTACAGGAGTGTGCCACCATGCCCAGTTTTGGTGGCTGGCATGGCATGTGGTACCAGGGATCGAACCTAGGTCCTTGCGCTTGCCAAGGAAGGTGCTTTGACTGCTAAGCTACCTCCTTTGCCCTAAAATCATGACACAGGGACTTGCAATACAGTTCAGACTGGTCTCAAACTCACAACCTCCCAGGTGCTGGGATCACAGGTGTGGGGCACCTCACCTGGCCAAAAACCAGTACTTTTTTAAAGACAAGGTTGCTCAAGCTGGGCTGAAACTCAAAATTGGCCAGCCCCAGTCTTCAACACAGTTGGAGCTACTCTACTGGCTTGGGCCACCATCCCCAGGATTTAAAAGAAATTGTCAAAAAAAAAAAAAAAAAAGAAATTCTTGAGGGGTAAACCGCTGTTGTCTCACTGAAGACAGAACACCCTGGGGTACTCATTTAAAAATCATGGGAGGGCTGGTGAGATGGCTCAGTGGTCTGGAGCACCTACTTGGAACAAGCTTTGGCGAAGCCCAGGGACCGCGGTTCGATCCCCCAGCACCACATGCCAGCCAGCCCCGCCCCCTGGTGGGCTGAGCTGGCCACACACACACACACACACACACAAATAAA